ACCCAACAGACTATCAAAATAGAGCATTTCCAATTCTGATTTCAAAAGATTTCGATTTCAATTCAAATTTTAACGGTAAACTAAACGGACCCTTAGTGGAAAATCGGATGAAGAACCCAGCCAGCTGCATATCGGAATTGTGGGTGATATAAATTAATTAGAAAGTAGAGGGAAGGGACCCACACCACAATACACGAATGCATGATTTTTAGCAATCAACGATGATGGATTTGAATTGGATAAGGATCCGAACTGACATTATCAATCCAAACGAAGGAGGTTGGCCCACCAACCTTTACCGTACCATCAAATACGTATTCAAAGATCTGACTTTGAGAGATTGATGGGTGTACCTTTATTAGTACGGTAGTGACTACTGCAACAACTGTCGGTGCCGCAGGAGAGAAGACGCGTTTGGAGTTGGGTCCTCACAAAAAGAAAAGCAGAGTAGTTTTTTGGGCTTGGCAATTTACAGCTGTTTCCTTTCTTTTCTTTTCTTTTTCTTTGTTTGTTTAATGTTTCGATGATGCATTCTGCAATTGCAGTTGCAGTTGGATTCTCCAGCTGCCTCCTTTCTCCGTTTAATAATGGTTAATTGGCTTAATTCTCACACCATTCACTTAGAACTGGGATATGCTCCTTACACCGACTTCATAGTCACATCCTACCATATATTAAAAATAATAACATACAAGTATGAAAGATATTTTCGATGTATAATTAACAGATAGATATGAGATTGATGTGAAAAACGCTTTATAAGAAGTATATCAAGATTCTATTTATTCATCTATGACAAATTATTGATCCTCCCACCTTACAAACAAAGTCAGGAGTATAACTATCAATTCACAAAGCATTTTATAAATATGTAAATTGTTATTAAAAATTATAAATAAAAAATATATTTTGAAACTTTCATTTATTTATATTTTAAATAAAAATAATAATATTTTATTAAAAGCTCAATTAGAATCGTTGAGCTACTAGAACTAGGTATTAAGAATATTAAAATCGGCTTGACTCCAACTAAGCTTGGTCCGACCGGATAATCTTCAAACCGGGACCAAACATTTAACGAGCCAACCCTCAATAAGATGCGAGTTGGATCGGCTCGCTGACACCCGAACGAGTCTAATTAATTCAATGTATATTTATGAATTATGATCCAATTTAGTTATAAGATAAAAAAAAAAAAAAAAAATTTCCAATCTCATGGCGGTTGCATCTCGATTTAAGGAAACCAGGTGCGAGCTTGGAATGGATACGATTTGGCAGATTTGGTGGGAGGTGTATCACCAAATCGAGGCAGGTAGGCAAATACGTGTGCTTTAATCGTGCACATGGGAGAGGTGGATCGTACGGCACAAAGTACCAATCTGAATCATGGGGAGCTGAAGCGACAGTTGGACGTGAGGGTGTCTTGTCAGACATGGTTCCCACCCATTCCAAAATTGACAAATAAAGGAGACAAAAAGAAATATTACAAAAAGAAGCTTGTGGTCGCGGGTTGACCTTTTTTTACTCCCCAAGTACAATACATCACTTCTTATTTTTTTGACCAAAAAGTACTGCATTTCCGACAACATTTTGGTATAAAATTAAAAAAAAAATAATAAGGAAAATTCTCAATTAATACACTCTACTTTGTGCTTAGTATCATTTTAATCTCTGAAATTAAAAATGAGATAATTCAATATTTAAATTTTTAAAATATGGCAATATAATACCTATCTGTCGTTATTCTTTAATAAGATGTTAACCTATATTTAAGTGACATTTGAAAAAGACTCAAATGTCCTTTAAATATCATTTAATTTTTTTTATTATTGATATAAAAATTATCAGTCTCAAATCTTTATTTTTTTCATTCAAGAAAATTGGGATTATGTCTGAATAAAAGAGATAAAGATTTGGGATTATTAATTTTTTAACAATATTTAGATAATTGATAAAAAAATTAAATACTATTTAAAAGATATTTATATCTTTTTCAAATACTACTTAATAGCTGATTAACGATAAATAATGTACAATCGATACTAGACACAAAGTACAAGATATTAATTATAAATTTATAAAAATTTGCATTATTTTTGCACCGCGATCAATTAAAAGTCGGAGCTGTGATGAATTCGGTGCTTGCTTTATTGAAATTTGAAAGAAAGGTGCCTTTGGAAGATTTTCATTACCCCTTTTGATTATGATGACGATGATATGATGTCTGATCATCTATAGAAATAAAATCTCCAAATTGTCGGTGTGATGTCTATTCAAGAATGGGGAGGGAGGTGGTGAGGACTGAGGGAATCATAAAATCATAATCATGATCACAATGTAAATAACTAAATGTGTAGTAGGCGATGGGGCCCAGTGATGAAGCAACTATTAGCTGTTTGATCTAAATTGGATGGCAGTGATTAAGACCCTACATCTACTTCTCTGAGAGGCGTGGCAAGTGGGATGGGGGACCCTCCTTTTTCAGACTACAGCTCTAACTGCCATTTAGACGACAAATGATAGTTTTAAATGTGTCATTTGGGCTAGTGGATCATTACATTCTAACCCTTTTCTTAGTTGTGGAAGTCGGATGTGATAAAATGGGCCCTACACCTAAGTTGCACTTGCATAGAAATTTCAGGGATCTTTGTTTCTTCTACATGTCAATTGGTCCGGGTCTGGTCCAAGTCAGGGTACACCCGGTTCCAAACCAATAATAATATCAGTCTTAAACCAAAACTTATAAGTCTATAAATAATAAATCCAAACTTGACCCAATTTATCAAACTGCACTATTGGTCTGACCCATTATAATCGAAAGTTATACTTTTAACCCATAATTTGACAATAAACTATTCGTTATGTTAAGGTTTGAAATTTGAACATGATAATGTGCTAATGTTATAAATATAGAGTTTAACTAGAATACATACATTCATTAATACTGGTTGCATATTAAATCTAGATCTCAATTAATTACGTTAAAATATACTTATTTCTATATATCAAAAAAATTGTTTATTCTTCATTGGTTAATACTGGTTGCATATTAAATCTAGATCTCATTTTCATCCATTCAACCAGTCAAGTCTTTTGATGGATGGTGCAATCGATGCACCATAGATTTTGCTATAAATATATTATGAAAAAAATCTATTAATTAGAGTATCTCTGTAATTTTGTCTCTTTATATTAGACGACTAAAAGCAACCCTGATTCAATTATACTTGGGATATAATAGACTTACCTCTATATATAATTGGGTTGGTTTAGTTCAGGTGCATCGGACCTGCTCAACCCACTGACAACCCATCAGATGTCTTCAACATTTATTTTCATTCAAAATCCTGATGAAGGACAATTTGGTCAAATTAAAATTAAAGCTTATTTCATAAGGACTAGCACATTGCCTAGATTATTATTGCCTTCATATAATAATCAATTAACTAAACCCTGTTTAGCTCCTAATATTCTATGTATAATTGTTCTCTGGCAATAAATGTTAATTAAGGTTGGTAATAGTTGATTAAGACATGTCTGATGAGTCTTCTTACTCCAAGCTTATTATATCCCCCACAAGCTAAAGATGTATTCATAGGAAGCTTAGGAGTTAAGTCATGCCAAAACATGCAAAAACTCATAAGGAATTAAGCTACCTTACTTTCTACCCAAATGACTAATTAAACCTCAGCATGAGTTAACATTTTAATTATACTAACCAAATCTCAGCTTGTATGCATTCTTATTAATCCAAACAGTTGTATTTGTCAATTGTTTTTCATATCAATGTATCAAATTCTCAAGGAACAACCTAAAAGCCTAAACTGTTAGATTAAGCTCATTAAACTTGAGGTATGGACAAGCCAACACTTATACCTTATATTAAAATTTAATTAATTATAACGGGAATAACAAGTGCTAAACATTAGACCACTTGGTTAAACAAGTTCTAAGAACAAATCTTAAGTTGTTACTGTTAGGTAACAAATATTCGAATCGGGTTTGATCCATAAGGTTGCATTTGGAAATGATGCAAATAAGTGTGAATGCAAATATGTAGAGTGTAAAACAATCCATATAAATTGCAAAATCTGTTTAGTTTTATAATGACAAATGTGTCAGTTACCTTCTTACCAAACAGATTTATAGCTGTAATGGATGCAAACACAAATTCCAATAAAACATATGCATTTTTTTTATCAAAAGCTCACTTGAATGCAAATTTATTTCTCTTTTATTGATGTACTTTTACATCTTATTATCAATGTAAATATGCATTGGAAAATGTATTTTCTGTTGCATAAATGTAATATTACCAAATATAGGCAAAAATGAACCAAAGTGCAAATTTACCCTGAACCGAGATTTAGACTCCATTTGCATCGTTTCCGAATGCAGCTTAAGAAAATTACTTGGAATTGGACCATTGTGCTCTTGTGGGACATAATGACCATTTTACCCTACAATTCTCAACCTCAAAGCACTCAACTCATAGTATACGTAAACAATGTGAGACAAGCTAGAATAAAGAATTAAGGCCCACTTCAAATAAAAGCCTGAAAAAGTCTTTTTTTGTAGTTAGGCTCATGGGGTCCAGCCCTTGGTTCAATATAACCCAACCTCGTCTGAACCTACTTTCTCCCCCACCTAACACGCACAAACACACAAAAGAAATAAATATATTTATGAATGGATATGTGTGTTATTTTAAAACTACCCAGTTGAATTAGAAACGAAAATGGATTCTAAAAATAAATAATAAACATGAAAAATGGTGAAAGAACTAACAGAAATGATCGAGGACATGATTCTTACTGCGTTATTCTCATCAAATTTAACGGTACGTGATGAAATCAAAAAAGACTGGCGTGGTCAAGAACACGTGGTTGGAAACCGTCGATCTGTTGCTCTCTCTGAGTYTTCCTTCTCGGCTTCTCCCTATATAAAATCATTGGATGAGATTAGTAAAGAGTGCCAATGTGTTTTTTTTAGCTCGAAGAGGCAAGCTAGGGAGCTTCCTCACCCATTTTATTCGGAATTTTCTACATTCATATCCACCAATCACCATTTCGTCATTTGGGTCTTCTCCTCTCTCTCTCTCTCTCTCTCTCTGTTTCTTCAATCTTTCCCCAAAATCAATTCCATCTCTCAGAGTATCAAGGTTTCAGGCTAAAGGTAACACCTTTGTCTACATTTTTAATGGTCTAATAATGGCTTCATCTTCATTTATGTTCCTCTGTTGAAGTTTTTAGAGGTGAAGCTAGAAACATGCAAATGGGTTTCATGTATTTATCTCGTTTCATGGCTTCTGCATTATGATAGTTTTATTTTAAATTTATAAACGCTTCTGATTAGTTTTCTGCATCTCTATACAATATTTGTGTTCGTTTACATCATTTGCATTGATGAGTTTCAGTGATTTATATCATTGACAAACCATCTTCGTCTGAAAGATTTACCTCTGTTCTTTTCGTTTCTCTTAACAGAAGATTTGCGGACAGGGTTTTAGCTAAGATATCCCACTTTGTAATTAAATGGGGATGTCTTTTTCCTGCCCTTTTGCTGAATTTGATGATCTGGAGGATGATTGGTATAAAACAGTCATCGTGAGACCCATCAATTTTGATGGTGAGGATGGCAGGACGCCACTGCGATCTGTCAGTTTCAATGGCCGGGATTTAGAGCCCACCATACTAAAATCTTTTGGCTCCGGAAAGATGATCATAGAAGGTTCTGTTAGCTTTAAAAGTATGGAAATGGAGACCATGCTCTCAATATCAGACGCGCAAAACAATGTGGTTCTCAGACCAGTCAGTTTTAAGAAGAAAGAAAGTGGTACACTAGTTCCCGAACCCGACGACTCTTGTGAAATGTTCACCCCAAGGTGCTCGCCGGATTTTGACAGCCCCAAGCATGAGGCGGCGGTGAAGTTGCAGAAAGTGTACAAAAGCTTTCGAACCAGACGAAAGCTCGCGGACTGTGCAGTTCTTGTGGAGCAGCAATGGTGAATGTTCGACTCCATTTTTTATTCTTCCCCTCTCTTAGTTCGATCTGTTGTTCGAAATCTTAACAACCCCATCTTTCTCGCTTTCTGTTAATGTATATTATAGGTGGGGGTTGCTAGACTTTGCCGAGCTCAAGCGGAGTTCTGTATCATTCTTTGACATCGAGAAACAAGAAACTGCCGTGTCTCGATGGTCAAGAGCGAGAAGAAGAGCTGCCAAGGTGAGCTTGCAACAAACTGAGAAATGCTTCTGCCAGTGCTTTCTTTCACCATGTCTGGGCTATAACTATAAGCATTTCTCTTTCTTTTGCAGGTCGGGAAAGGTTTGTCCAAGGATGACAAGGCTCAGAAACTTGCTTTACAGCATTGGCTTGAAGCTGTAAGTCCTGAACTTAGAAGAATACGCGTGTTACATAAAATAAAAAGTAGTTGGGATTTTGATTTCGTGCTCTTCTTGACAGATTGATCCCCGACACCGTTATGGACATAATCTCCACTTGTATTATATCAATTGGCTCCATTGCGAGAGCAGACAACCCTTCTTCTACTGGTAATTTTCAACAAACATTCTTCCCTTTTCCTTTCGTTACAAGAACTTACGTTTCAGATTCAGAGATCTCAAGACTTTCGATAAATGCAGGCTGGACATAGGAGATGGGAAAGATGTCAACCTTGTTGACTGTCCCCGATCAAAGCTTCAACAACAGTGCATCAAGTACCTCGGTCCAGTGAGTCGAATTTCATTTATGAGGACTACATTTTATCTCAAGACTGGAGAGTAATTTCTTAGTTCTTATAGTTAAATTTCTGTCTGGGTTGCAGGCTGAAAGACAGGCTTATGAAGTTGTGGTGGAAGATGGGAAGTTCATCTACAAGCAGACTGGGAAATTGGTTGACACATCTCAAGGACCTAAGGATGCGAAGTGGATCTTCGTTCTCAGCACATCCAAGACCTTGTATGTTGGACAGAAGAAGAAAGGAGTGTTTCAACACTCAAGCTTCTTGGCTGGAGGAGCCACTTCTGCAGCTGGGAGATTGGATGTGGAAAAGGGTATACTAAAGGTATGGAACAAATTGGTCACACTGAGACAGTTTCTTCTGATATCTGAAGCTTGATGCTTACTGTGGCTTTAGTTCATGCACAAATGTGATTGTTAATGAGGATGAGGATATTTTCTTTGACAGGCAGTCTGGCCACACAGTGGACATTACCGTCCAACAGAAGAAAATTTTCAAGAATTCATGACATACCTCGAGGAACATAATGTGGATCTCACGGATGTGCAGGTATGGAAGATTTTCCTTGGTTTTGAGTAATTCCTGAATCTGCTCAGAAGAGAAACTTAAAATAGACAGTGAGACACAGACTGATGGGGTCCTATGGTTACTTTGTTTTTCAGAAGAGTCCAACAGACGAGGAAGAAGGACCATTTAAAAAACAGAAGAGTCTTAGGGGGAACCGTTCTGAGCAGCACCTGGTTCAGAAGGTGACAGATGTTGAGAAAGAGGGCGTCAACACCAACAACCTGACTGGAGAGACAACTGCTTCAGTGAAACAAGATACTAATGAAATGGCAGAACCAGAGGAGTCGGCAAGGAATCATCTTTTGAAAAGAAGATTGACTAACCTTCTAATACCAAAAAGAAACGATCTGTTTGATCCATCAGAGAAGCAAGGTCTGTCAATTGGAATAATGGGGTCTGAACAAGATTTTGTAGTTCCTAAGAGGAATTTGCTTGAGGATGAGGAAGAAAATAAAGACCAAGTTGTTCCAAAAGAATCAATCCTCGAGAGGATTAATTCAAAGAAAGGAATGAAGTCATATCAATTGGGGAAGCAGCTATCTAGCAAATGGACAACAGGTGCTGGACCCCGTATTGGTTGCTTGAGAGACTATCCCTCTGAGCTTCAACTAAGAGCCTTGGAGAAAGTAGATTTGTCTCCAAGAGCTGATGGGAACTCTAGAGTTTACTTCTCTCCTAGAAGTATGACTGGAATGAGCCCAAAGTTGGCACCTTACACTCCTAGAAATATGACAGGACTGAGCCCAAAGCTTCCACCTCATTCTCCTAGAAATATGACAGGACTGAGCCCCAAGTTGCCACCTCGCTCTCCTAGAAATATGTCAGGACTGAGCCCCCAGTTTTCACCTCACTCTCCGAGAAGTATGACAGGACTGAGCCCAAAGTTGCCACCTCACTCTCCAAGAAACATGGCAGGACTGAGTCCAAAGTTGCCTACACCAACCTCTCTGTGGATGGAAACCACAGCAACCCCAAGAGCTGCTCCTGCTTTCAGATAAGGAGGGACAACAACCCCTGGTTCACCTGTTCTTTTGTTTCTAGACGATATTGTAGAGGAATTCTTTTGCACTGTTTCATTCTTTTATTTTTATCTTTTTTAGATCCTTTAGTGGAATACCAAATTGTACAATTACTTTGGGCTTTAACGCCCTCTAAAGGAGAAGAAGACCCCCAAATTCTTTATAAGCAGGTTTATTGTTTCTGAACTAAGAAGATATAGTCAATTCCTCCTATTCTCGTGCCTTATTAGTGGGTTTGATCTCTTCCTAGAAGACATTTATCCAAGGATAAAGCTTCGAGCATTTGTAAGCTGACTTCAACATGACCAACTTGATTTGGATTTCAGGGCGAGTTTTTAAAATGTTGAATAGGAAACCCTGTGATGTGAGAGGTTATAGTTACTCCGCATTTCCTTTCTTTCCGTGTGAAGTAGGAACCAAACAACTTCAGCTAATTCAAGATGGAAACCTTTGAAATGTTTATAAGATTGTCGTTTTCAAAAGGACACCTTTTGATGATTATATTCATAAAGTGTTGAGTTGTTGCTTCAATTCTTTGTTGCTGTCCACTCCATGCTCCATGCCTTGACCCTGCATTAGTGGGGAAAAACCTCAAAGCAAAATTTCATAGTGGTTACCCAGATACGTTATGTTGTTGGGTTTTTTTTTTTTTTTCTTTTTTCTTTTATGTATCTTTTGATTAAGTCTAAGAGCAAATATTGTGAGTGAGAGGTCGGATGCATTAGGGTTTGGGGTTTTTTGAGAGTGAGAGCATTCGCTCAACATCATATTCTTCACTGTTGATTTTATAGTGGATTTCTTCTCCTTCACCTGTGAACGTAGGTTATAAGTACAACTACGTAAATCTGTTTGTGTCTCTATTTTCTTCCTTTTTTTCTATTATTTGCCAATCAATTTCAGTCTCACGTTTGTTCTTCCGTAACAATAAGAGTAGATAAATATGATTGACTTCATTTGAGGAAGCTTGAGTGATGGACTGGGTAAGGGATTAAGAAAGCAAGTAGAGGAACTGCGTGTGAGAGTGCTGTTAGTCAAAACTTTCAATATTGCCGTGTCAAATAAGAATTAAGGAAGTTTACTTGATACCCATTTAAAGATACAAAACCTGAAATGAAAGTAAAAAACTTTTTGTATTTAAAAAAGACTTTTACTAGGTCTGTTTTTTGATTTGTTCTGGCCCTTCTGGGAGACAAGAGTTAATAACAAGTCAACATGGAAAAGGATCTATGATCCATTGAAAAGGATTTCTTTCCTTTTCAATTAATCAAGTTGCCAAATTCCATGACCAACTCCAAGAGAAAGTGTTAAAGCAAAACTGTTGCACTCTGATCAAAAGAAAAGAAAAATTGTTGCACTACAAGTACGAGCTAGTCTCTAGTTTACCCTTCTGGACAGAAATAAATTGCTTTCTGAAGAAACACAAAGAGCCATTGATCACAAACAGTGTGGAATGCTGTTTGTGAGGTCATGGTTGTTTTTAGGCGACCTCTGTTGGTTATTGTACTTTGGCTAATGACCACAGATGTACAGTATTATTCTCTTTGGAACTAAAAATCTACATGAATCAATACAGTATTAGATCATCTAAATGTTGGCCAACCAACATGAGACATTATCCTGACAAAATTATGGATTAGGGTGAAACCCTATTCCCCACAACATCTCCCTTCATCATGTAAAATGTGAGTAGCTTTGTAGCTGCTCCTTTTGCTACTCCCCAAAGTGTGACCTCAGTAGTTTATCATTAGTTCATACAGAGTGTTAACACCAACAATCAAAATTAAGCCAAGGGTAAAGAATCATAGGACTATAACTGAGCATGCACAGGGAATATACAATCTTTTATTTATTTGTTTTGTTTGTTTGTTTTTTTTTTTTTGGGTAAAGAATGGATACAACAAGATAAGGAATTATTCAATTATATAGGGTTGCACTAAAAAAAAACAATTAGAGTAGAACCAAAATCAACATTCAACAAACTTCTCCCCCAAACTCACCCCAAAGAAAAAAGAAAATCTTGCGCGGTAGTTAAAATTAGATTGCTAGAGGTCAGCCTCTTGGATGCAAGTTTTACTTTCCATATCTATTTCTTTAGTAAAGTTCTATTTGAACATAGTAGTAGTATTCCAGTTTTTCAATCACACTTGCAGTTTATAAAGGGAACTGTTGATTGGAAGCATATAATACGTTACACGTATAATTAAAAAATACATAACTAAGAGAGATTATCGACTTACTGCAACAAGAGCACTTTTTAATATTCAAGATAATTAACTGATTAAGCACATTGCCAACCCTTTTTGGCCTCAACCTCTTAATTAAACCCAAAAAATTTAAGATACATCTGCAAATCCATTGATGTGGACAAGCACTCTTATTAAGATCAATATCTCTACCATAAACCAGTCTATTATTGGTTTTGCTTGGATTAAGAAAAAGACGAGAATCTGAAGTAGAGTGGTTGGCACAAAGTTTTGAGTATAATTAGCTTTTAACAACTCAATTGTTTAAAGCTTTAGGTACGTACTAAGAGATAAAACAATGTCGTTTTGAAGTTCCTCCAGAGATTCATTCTACTCTATTTTTATATCTATTTTAAAGTATAGACGCCTCCGTGGATTCAGTGATTTAAAACTATAATCATTATCATCATCATCATCATCCAAACCTTATCCCGACTATATGAAGCCAGCTACATCCATCCTGTTTCGCCAGTCCGTTCTGTTTAATGCCACATCCATCGTGATTTAAAACCCTGACCATGAGTCCATGAGTATTAAATAACAAAAAAAAAAATCAAAATATTTTGAAGAGAATAAATTGGAGATAGAGGAACTTTTTCACGATTCCTTTTAATCTCTGATGATTTTCAATCCCAGTATCATACAACTTTATGGACCGGCATTAGCTTTGGGCCTCTTTTTTTTATAAGAAACAAGGTTTTCTGAGTTAAATTAAGGCCATAATGGGCCATGTCGGACCACTGGGCCCTTACACCACTACAGAGCCGTGCTTTGTAGACTTTTGTGCTTATTGGATCAGTAAGGTAGGTTTCCCTACTTTTCCCTACCTTTCTTTCAACCCAAACATAGCCTAGGGTTAATTTTGAGGCTTGCTAAATATTAGGAGGCAACATGAATTATATTTTGAATCTCATTCTGCTATACAAGTTACAGTCTCCTCACATCGCTACACAACAAAAAGAAACAAAATTCATTTGCAATACCATGAAAATGACGAAAAATGTGAGTAGAATACCATCCTCCCTATCAGATAAAAGGAAATATGATGTACTCAGCATAGAAGAGATTCCAGATAAACCGATAGAAACCTGAGATTGCATCCTGCAAGAGGCATTTCATATATGATGAGTATGAGCCACAAGATAAAAAGTATTTCATTTCATTCCAAGTCTTTGCATTTATTTGGGTTAGTATGATATAATAAGAATAAATGTTCCAGCCAAAKAGGGCAGTAGGGCACCGAAATAGAATAGAATTCCAGGAACAAAGGAAAACCACCCAATTTAAGAGAATTCAAATGCTATCAATCTGATGTTATTGTTACACCCACCCAATTGGCAATGAAAATGCATTCAGCATTCAGGTTTACGTGTAGAATTTAAATAAAGATTAGGAAAACTACAACTTCTTTTTTCCTGAATTCGTGGAGATAAATCATCTCAGCAATTTCTCTATACTTCCCAAGCAGGCCAATCCAGCCCCATCTGGTTCTTTGTACCCTGAAGTGCTAAACGGGTAAGTAAACTATATCTGCACTCTTTACAAAGATTATTATACTTCCATGAGTATATCTGACTATAGTTCCGCGACTACATCCTCAGATAAGAGATCATTGGCCCCATGCTTTCTCCTAAGTCAGCTGCTTAGAATTCTCTTCAGGGTTATTCCACCCATCCTCCAGTTTCTTTTTGTCTCCCCCTTTTCCCCACTAAAGAGTGTTTCTTCTTCCTATAAGCTATACAATTTAACAAACACCAAAGATCTATTATAGAAAAATGGTGATACTATATTACACGGTAGTTTAGTTTATTTTCATGACACATTAAGTCAGCTATTACCTTGGTATAATTTGCTCTCTCTAATATCCACGCCTGAAATCATATGAAGCAAAATGTTACTTGGGGAGATTCAATTACTAAAGTAAATCTAAAGAAAAGTTCACAGAAAAGAACATTAAAGTTTAGGAATGGTAAAGAGGAAAATAGTATATTGTGATAATCCGCATGTAATAATGCTTTTACTAGTATTATTATTATTAATATAATGTAGAACAGAATAAATTAGTATTAATATCATCGATAAAATTCTTACCTTACCTTTCAAAAAAAATACCAGAATAAATTAGTAATATGCACGTATTAATATTATAGCAGCACATATCAGTAAACAATGCCACTTGGCAAACAAAGGAAATGCAAGTCATTAAGCAACAAAAAGGGACTATGTCACTAGATTCCTTTTATCTAATAAATAGAATTAGTTTTTTGGACGTTCTCTTTCTGGATAAGTATCATTTTATATATTCTTGATGCTGTTAAGCCTAGCCACTTGCACAGAACATGTGCAAGGTGATGAACCGGTGGTTTGGGGTTATCGGCTTGAGTCAAGGGAAGAAAAGAAGGTTGACTTTGTTAGTTTATAAGAAACACAAATGGGGACTCCATTTGCTATCTTCTTAGGACCAATAGGGGTTGTAGACTCCACAACATCACAATTGAGGGCTCTACTTAAAGGCCTACAGCTTTGTAAGGGGATGAGTTTGGGCAGTACTGTAGTTGAGGGAGACTCCAGACTGTAATAGGATGCGTTAAGAAGGAAACTCAGGGCACTTGGGCAATTAAGGGAGGCTAAACAGATGGATATAGAGTTGGGTGTGGTTTAGAGATGGACTTGCAGGAAAGCAAACAGAGTATTCAACTCACTTGCAAAACAAGGAGCCAACAGGGAAGCTTTGTGCTGGGGAGTTGTTACGTGATCTTCTTGTAAATGAATAAAAAGGGTTAGGTAGCTGAGGCTAGCCTAATGTTGTAAATTATTTTTGTACATATTACTTTAACATCAATGAATATACTTTGCTGTTGCCAATTAAAAAAATAATGATGCAACTAAGCAGTTGAATAATCAATTTTAGGGTTTTATTTATTCTTACACGTTTTGAAAAAGCTCTATGATATTAAGATATCATACACTGCACTTTGACATTTAATTCAGTAGAGAAAACCTTCCAAAGGGAAGCACATGTTTCAGTTGATAAAAAAACATCTATTTTTTCTGCTACAGTTGATTTTTAGTTGATTTTACAGCAATGAGAATATAAGTAAAGAAGGTACTATTGAGGCCATAACAGTTAGGGTGGTGCATTGGCTAAAATCTGTGCAACTGTTTAATGATGTGTCTATGGATATGTTGCTGAACAGCTGGGTGGAAGTGGCTAACTCTGCTCCGGCTTGGTTTCCTGCGTCTCCTGTGTGGTCACCACTTGGCAATGGATTTATAAAGCTAAATTTTGATGGGAGTAGTGAAGGTAACCGAGGCCCTTCAGGTGTAGGAGGTGTCTTCAGAGATGAGGAGGGGAAGGTGAAGGCAATGTATTCAGGATCCATTGGGGTTGGGGACTCTCTTAAACCTGAGATCTATGCTGTACTGGAGGGTATTAGAAAGAGTAAGGAACTGAATATACACAAGTTAATTATTGAAGGGGACTCAAAGTTGGTTTTGAGTTGGCTACAGAAGGGAAATGGTCTTTGGAAGTTTTCTAATGAAAGAAAGGAAATCAAATGGCTAACTAGGGGGGTGGACATCCAATTTCAGTGGGTGAAAAGAACAGCAAATGCCTTTGCAGATGCTTTGGCAAAGCAGGGGGTGGGAAGGGATCAATTGTACTGGGCTGTATTGTGAGCTCTTTGCCGTTTTTTTTTATATAAATCTAATGAAATTCTGTTACTGATAAAAAAAAAGAATAGATATTCATTGTTTTATTGCTGGTGAAAGTGCAGGAAGTCTGAAATGAAAACCTGGAAAAGCAAACCCAGTGCTAGGATGGTATGAATGGGAATCATTAAGCTACGCCTGAAAGCCTGCAAAAATGCAGTCATCAGTGGATGGAATTATCTTTGTGCTAAAAAAACAAAACAAAAAGTCTGCCTTCACACAGTGGCAGCTCATTCCATGAAACCAATTTACATAAATGATAGGGTTCTATTATAAACTAAAACAGCAAGATTTTTTTTTTTGGAAACAAGAAAAGGTTAAGCACATTAAAAGTGAAATTTTCCTTTACCTGGGGCAGGTAAATTGCTGCAAGTATGGCGCCAAGATAATTTGCCAGCAAAAGCCCAGAACCAAGAAATGCAATATTTCTAACACCAAGCTTTGTAGCCAAGGTTGATATCTGAAACCTGCAAAAACGTAGTGGTTCACAGAATCAAGAGGCAAATGCTTTTTTACATATTTTACATTTTCTGGAATATGTTTTCAGTTGCTAGTCAAGATGCGAATGATTTTTTCTAGGAATGGCACATTTTATCCTTAAATTAGGATTTTAAACAGACTGTTCAGGCATTTTGATCAGTAATAGCATATAGAGTTTTATTAGTGTCAAAAGGTATAAGAACTCATTTCCCGTGCATATGGACAGGAGAAGCGGTACAATAAACAACTCATGGATGACACTCAATTCCATACATGTATTTCCACATTTTACAAATTTCCCCCAGGCCTGGGGTCCCCCAAACATTTTAAGACCTTGTAATTCCTATCCTTTCCAATGAATCGGCTAAGCTATAAGTGGCCTAATGGTCCAGTTGAACTGGTAGCGTGCACACACACACACCCACCCACCCAAGAGGCCAAGGGCCTAAAGTTGTTGAGATGAACCAGGGAATTACAACTTGGCTGTCCCCTTCTACACATTTGTCCCCCTTTTTTTATTGGAAACGTAACTTCATTAATACGACTTAAGAATAATTTTCCAGAGTTAAGTATAGCTGTCAACCCCTAAACAGGTGTTGAGCCCCCAATAATCTTTCTTACAAAACTGCCCAGAACATTCTCTCCCTCACAGTCCCTTGTTTAGCCAATGTGTCAGCTAAACCATTAACTGGTTTCCTTGTCCATTTGAAGCATGCACCGATCTCCCTTGTTGTATTGAGGATTTCCCTTATGGGATGTCCATAAATCCAGGCTCCAACTCACTAGATTGCAGCCACTCAATCAACAATTTAGAGTCTTCCTCTATCTCAATTTGGTGTAACCCCAATTGTTTGGCATATCTTACACCTTGAAGCAAGGCCATCACCTTCGATCTCAATGAGTCCCCCACTCCTATTGGTCCTGAAAACATAGCAACAATTCTGCCACTTTCATCTCTGAATATTCCTCCTACCTGAAGGGCCCGGGTTACCTCTATAACTCCCGTCAAAGTTCAGTTTCACTCTTTGTTGTGTTGGTGGGGTCCACAACTTTATGGCTGTCCCCTTCTACAATGAGATTATTGTAATTATAAGAGTGTTCCAACCATAAACCTTGCGAAAGGACACACATTTTAACCCTAAGTAAGTTCCTTTCCCCCACTGGGCCTCTGTAGCTTAGTAAGATTAATCCTGTTTCATTTCTAATAACTCCTCCCATCCTTGATTGCCCATGATTGCTGTGGAAATAATCGTCAAAATTAAGTATTATATTTCCCATTTCAGGGGCAATCCAAGGATGAGTCAATTGCTAATTTCTTTGAGCAAATCCAACTACTATTTACCACCCACTCTGGATGGAATCTATTGGAACTCCTTTGAGCTCATCCTTACTCCTTAGTCAATGCCCGATGAGACACTCTTAACTTTATGATGTCTGTTAGAGAATATCAACCTATTCAAGGACCTCACCTAACAGCTTAAGCTTTTAGGTTGAATGGTTCTTTGAGATGGTATCAAAGCCATTTTGACCAAGTGTCTGGTGTTTGATCCTCGTTACCCCCATTATAATTAAATAAGTTTCAGCACAAGGTATGGGTGGGCCTGTGCTTGTTCACGCTTCAAGCCCAATGGGCTTTTGTGTGAGGGGGCGTGTTAGAGAATATCAACCTATTCAAGGACCTCACCTAACAGCTTAAGCTTTTAGGTTGAATGGTTCTTTATTTGTCTTTTGATCTGTCATGTCTTCTTCTTGAATATTCTAGCACTTATTTCACACCAAATTCTCCAAGGAACAGTTGCTCTTGTACAATGTCATAGGATTTTACCCCTTTTGTGTGGATGTGAATGACTGAGGATGAGTATAATTCCAGCACCTCATGGGCAAATTACCTTGTCATCCAACGAGAGAAGTGATTCCATAGCTTAGCAACAAATAAGCTAGAGAGTAGATGATTTACGTTTTCTCCACTCTTGAACCAGAGGATGCACACATGAGGTGAGAGATGCCAATAACTAAAACCTTAAACTTGTGCTGCCCAGCAACAAGCATAAATGATAAATTAACTCTGAATGGTGAATATACCATATCCATTTCAACCTTAGAAATCTATAATGGATAACTCATGGTTCCCAATAAAGCTACTGGCTTGAGACAAAATCCACCTGGTAAGCCTTCTTATTTTCATTTTTGTTACATTATTTTCATGGACCAGAATCCACTTTGCCTCCTTTAATTATCTGGTGTAGATAGGCAGTGAATCCTGGAATGTATGCTCAACAAACACAAATTTTCATCTAAACAAGTAAAAATGTTCAAAAAAGAAAAAGAAGGCCCTTTGACCAAGTAAAGCCCCCCACCTGAAAGATATCCCCCTCTTCATTCCAGAGATCAGTAATCTACATCAAAATCATAACCAAATTGAGGCCTTTTTTGGGGTGTGTTTGTTGTGTGTGCTTTATATAGGTTTGAATTCAGGTATTTATCCCACTACCCACAAGAAAAAGAGTTAAGCCAAGACAGCATTTTTCTGGGGGTTTTCTATCTGGTTACACATGTCTTTAGGCAAATAACTATGATTATATGAACACATACGTATGCATGCATGACAGGACAAGATATACCTGCAATAAGCGAAATACCAGAAATTATGTTACCCAGATAATGGGACACGGATGGGCAAGGTGTCAAATATAGAATTTACACTAAGAACAAAAGTATCCATTGTACTGGTGTCCAGGTATCATATCCAGAAACAAAAATAATAATGGTAATAATAACAAATCGCATCATATATTACAAAATACAATAAGGAAATATCACAAAGAATTTTTTCCATAAACCTTAATCATATTTTTCACTTCTTATGTAATTTTTTTTTACTGCAGAAGTCTCAAACTTCAAAAAAGGAAGAAGGACTTACACCTGGTAGAAGCATATCTATAAGATATCACAAGGCTTAGGATAATAGAATACCCACTTGTGAAATGCATACAAGATATCAAAACTATTAAAAAACTAGAATAATTACCATCTTGTATGTCCAAATTTTAGGAATGGTACGACTACTTACTTGCGGTCACCCTCTACATCTGGGAGATCTTTTGTAATGGCAATGACCAATGCAAACAGAGTCACGAATGTTGTGATGAATGCCACAGGTGAACTGAAGGTAGAAATGGGTTAAACGGGCATTAGAATCATATTATCATGACATGTCCTGCATATGATCATATAAATAAAATATAAACCAGGTAATCCAGTAGATAAGAAACATCCTGGATGTGAATTGTGAAATAGCCCAATTTTAACTTCATGATGCCTTAATTGCTTTCTGGGCTCACATTTAGCTCATGAATATCAAGTTTTAGCTCCAAATTGAAAGGTTAAGACAATTATGTCAGTATAACATTTGGGCTATTCCCAAGGATGGTATACTGATTGGAAAGTCAAGGGGCTGAGTAGGCACTTAAATGGCATTTAGCTCCCATTTGATGGTTTGTTTAACTCTTCAACCTACATTATAAAATGATAAAAGAAAACTACTAATTCACCTCCACTCAAATGTAAGTCCTAATGCAGCTCTTGTTGCATGATAAACCCCAAAGTTAAGAAGAAAACCTCGGACCTGTAAAAGTGTTTAGTATTTACTAATATTTCTGCAGGGGCTGAGAAAGATGGACAGCAGCAAATAAACAACTACCAAAGAAATTTTCATCAAGCTCAAAAAAGATATTGGACATAAAACCATGCTGAGAAATCTAGGATAATCATAGTCCCAAAAACAGAGGTTGCATAATGACAGTAAGAACAATAAAGAGAAGGTATGTGTTTGTTCGGTTAACTTATATAGTTTCCAGTGTATGATTTGATCTCTCTCTCTCTCTCTCTCTCTAGCTGAAAAGAAAATCAAAAGAGCTAATAATAGTTCCAACATTTCATAAAAGTCAGTACTATGAGTTTCTCCAGTAAACAATATTGAGCCATTCTAAATTTCAAACTCACATCCTTTAGTTTGGGATTTGATACAGTTCATATGAAGTTTCCAGAATGAGATTAAAATGATGAAAATTTAAAGAGCTGTCATAAAGAGTTAGAAGGCAGTACAATCTAGGCTTCCAGTGGGTCCATTGTTGTTGCAGACTCCATGTAGGCTGATGCTGTGGCAGTCCTTTCTCATCTGAGAATTTCCAACCAGTTAGGTATTTCTATCTTATCCATGGGGAATCAGATGTGTGGACCATGGGATTGGCTCACTTTTTCAATGAAGCAAGGGACCTTGTTCTTCTTTCACATGCTCATCTTTGGTGGATTCCTAGAGAGCTCAATGTCATCGCTGACAGCCTAGCCAAAGTGGGTGTTCACAAGGATTTTATGTATAGCAATTATACTATGCCTTTGTAATCCCAGGGATGCCTTCTATTTTCCTTGTACATCTTTTTGTTCATACATTGTATAGTTGTTTTCTTCAAGAAAAGAAGCAACAAGAGAGAGAAATAGAGGAGCAAGCTGGATGAACTCTCAAACCACAGCTTTCCGATCAGGAGGTGATTAAAGAAGCTTAGCACTCAAAGCAGGAATTCCATATGTGGTAAAAGTTATGATACATGGATCCTTCAGTTTCAAGTCCACTGAACAAAATAGTATAGTGGGTAGTGGATACATCACTGTTACTCATCCATAATAAAATATTCTATATTTTTCATCAGACTGTGAAAGCATCTCAGAAAAGAAAAAGTAATAAATCAGTATAGTGTTACAAATATATTAAGACTTTAGTATAAAAAAATGTTTAAATCCTATGCATGCCATTTAAAGAATTAGGTGCCGTTGCTTGGTGTGATGGTAAAATCTCGAGCTGACAGGTGTGAGAACAGTGGTTCAAGTCTGAGAGCAGTCACTCTATATGTGAAAGGTTAGGTCTGTACAGAGATCAACATGAGTAATGGCCTTTTATTATGTAACAAATATATTATTATGACATTATTGACATAACAGTTTCCTTGCATCCTACAATTTGTACTCCTGCAAGCCCAACATCTAGGTCATGCTTATATCCATTGTTTGTATCCATTTCCATACAGCAAATGAGCAGAGGATTTAACACTTTCTGCTCGGTTCATCAAATTGATATTCAGATTAACCAAGGTTTTATGTATGTATAGGAAAATAGGGCAAAGGTTTCTGAAATGAACTTCTGGATTGTCTAAATGTTCATTTCCCTGGTCAACATCAGCCCAATATCCCACTTGTACAGTTTTGCTCCCTTAGTAATTGATCATCCAACCTTCCTGGTTTTTCGATTTAAAAATGCCTAGAAACAAAGCCTTATTTTAAACAAATGGAAAAGGTCTTTAGGGCTGTAATTTTTTCTATCATTAAGGGGTGGATAGAGGAATCCCTACTGATAGAAGGAGAATAATAAGTGGTGGTGGGGTGGTTGAAGGACTCAATCTGTTATTTGGTGCTATAGGAATGAAATCAAGAGATTCAAGTGGCTTACACAGAATATGAATATAAGCATACAATGGGTGGGGAGGGTGGAAAAAGCTTTCACTGATTGTTTAGCCAAGCAAGGGTAAATAGGGAGCATTTGTTTTGGGCTCAGTTGTAACTTGTTTTATTTCTTAACTTCTGTTACTGGAAAGGGCATAGCTTGTGCCTCTAGGGATGCTTGTATTGCTTCGATCTTTTGAATTAATAAATTCTTCTTCATTGATCAAAAAAAGGGGGTGGATAGAGGAAAACAGGTACACCTTTGGAGCCCCAAATGAATTTGTCACATGATGATCTCTCACTCCCATAACAGTTATGTAAAACAGCTTGTTCCTCATTACTCCCCCACCAGACTTTAGCAATACTCTCCTCTCTGCAATCAAATTGATGGATGTCAAAACCTATTTGGACAAGAAGGTCAATCTGACAACCAGAGACAATACCTCTCAGATCTGTTGACAAAACCTCCAGTAGCCCCTGGTTTTTCTTTTTTTTTTTTCTCATTTTTGTACCTATGTGGGAGTCATTATCAATGGAAAGACCCCCAAACCCCATAAAAAATAGTAGACTAACTGGCAAAAAATAGTAGACACCCCCTAAAGAAGAGAAAACATTCTCCTCTCACAGACACCCATACCAACTGGCAAAAAATAGTAGACTAATCAAACCATTACCATCCATAACACCACCAGTACCTAGGGAACCGGGTTACTGACAAACATCTGTCAAGATTTAGCTTGATACTAGCTCCACAAGAAAGCATCCATGCATGGGCTATCAGAAATATATAGGGGGTAGATCTCCTATGGGACTCCCTTACCTGATTATAACACCAGTGGTAAAGCCTCTCAAATCCATCAGAAATCAACTCCTCCAACAACCTGAAATGAATTATCATATCTTGGAATGTTCTAAAATATCTCTTTCCGAACTCCAAAGTACCTCAGAACACTGCATGCAATATCTTTCTCCATGATTTTATCATGAGTTCCTGAACAACAATAATTACAACTCCCAACGAGATCAAATATGTCCTGCATGTCTTAAAGAGGAGAATGGTGGATATTAAAGAGATGAAGGGAGAGTTTCCAGGTTAAAACTGCAATGGAGAATTAGGCAATTACATATATCCCTCCCCAGACCCTGCATTGGCGGGAGCCTCGTGCACTGGACCGTCCTGTTACCAACTTTGTAGCAGAGAGGCAGTGATCTGAGAAACAAAACTGCAGTGGAGAAATAGAAAACTCCCCTATTCATACAAGCCAAGGACAAGAAACAAGCATGAGGGTAGAGTCACTGTCACCCTTGTTCTGGAAAATCACTTGTGCCAATCTTCAATATGATCCACCTCTGAGTAGAAAGTTCTAATCTTTAGGAGGAGTAGAAACCTCCAATAACACCTTCTGTGGAAAAGGAGAATATAAATACTGCAACAGATAGATATGAAGAAGCGGATAGTAAGAAATAATCTCATTGGATTGCAAAATCCAAATCATACTCTAGGGCAATATAGGAGTTTACAACCTCTTTCCTTTCCATCTTAGGCATAGGGATGACAGCTTGGATTTGATACGGGTTTTGTTCAGCCCAAACCTGACACAAAGCCACTCCAATCTGAACCCAACCTTGACCTAACCAAATAAAATGGGATACTGAACCCACCCCTGCCCTGTCCTATGAATAGTACTCTTATAATCAGTGAAGGCTATTTTTACAAATGTTTCAGTGATACCATGTCAACAGGTCAGGTTTGGCATAGGTTGACATCAACCTGAAACCCAATTAAGGCAGACCCAGGCCAGGTCAAGGCGAGTTTACCACTTAACCTGAGACACTGACATTCCTAACCCAAAACATCAAGAGAAGCCAAAATAATCCACATACAAAAAGGAAAAAAGAAGAAGATTGCAGTGCCTGGGGATATAATAGTCTAGGAATGACACCATCTTGCAGATCTGTCTTGATGGCACAACTTCCTGGAGTCCATGTAGACCCATGGATATTGCTGTGTATTCTCTCGCTCTCTCTCTTGTTTTTTTATCATGGCCCAAGGTATGTGTTAGCATATTGTTTGCCTGGATACAACACCTTGTGCATTTTTTTGCTTCCTGGATGCAACCCCTGCCCTGGTAACCTCACCTTATAGGCGAGTTCCTCCAATTCTTTCTTCAAGGTTTTGGTTACAGAAGAGCAGAATTATCACTTTCTTTTCAAGAAGGTCTGGTGCAACTACATCCCCTCTAGAGTGTGTTTCTTTGTATGGGAAGCCTGTCTGCACAGGATAAACACTTGTGAGCTATTGCAAAAGAAGAATTTTGGCAGACTTTTCATCTCCCCCCATGTCTGCATCCTTTGCCTGAGAGAAGGGGAATCAACTGACCATCTCTTCATTCACTGTCAGGAAACCAGGGACATCTGGAGCCATTTTCTACAGCTATCTGGGTTGCTCCAAATCACCTCCAGGACTTACTCCATCAATGGCAAGGTAAAGGACTGAGTAAAAGAGGTAAGGTTTATTGGCAAATAATTCTGCATGCTGTACTTTGGGGAGTTTGGGAAGAAAGGAACAACCGCTTGTTTGAGAACCAGGTTAAGACAAAGAGTGATCTGATCTCTCACATTACCTATAAATGTAATCAGTGGGATTCCAGCTCAGACAAATTTAAAGGAGTCTCTATAAATGGTCTAAACAGGGATGCTGGTTTTTTCCTTTTCTCCTCTCTCCCCCCCCCCCATCCCTCTTCCCCATCCATAGGGGCCCCTTATCTAGGAGGGAAGGAACTTGGACCCTAAGTTTCGATGGAAGTTCTTCAGGTAACCCCAGAACTGCTGGCATTGGAGGAGTTTTAAGGGATGAAAATGGGAACACTTGCTGGGTGTACAGTGGGCCAATAGGAATAGCTGACTCTACAAAGGCAGAAGTGATGGCTGCACTTACAGGAATCAGACTAATCAACAGACTAGGCATCCAGCACCTATCCATAGAGGGAGACTCAGAAAACACTATAAACTGGTTAGGAAGACAGAAGGCTGGGCCGTGGAGACTGAGTCATTTTCTGACAGAGGCAAGGGACCTAATGGCAACTACAAACATACACCTGTGCTAGATTCCAAGGGATCTTAACGCTCTTGCAGATGGGTCAGCAAAATTAGGTGCTCTTTTAGAAGTGCTGTAGTGATAAGATCCCTCCTGTTTAATTTTCAGGGGTCTGATCCCCGTTTGTTTGTTTTCTTTGTACACCATCTTTGTATACCCTTCTCTTTTCTTAATGAATTCAGTTAACTTTTCTCCAAAAAAAAAAGGGAAAAAAACACATAATAGAAATTTGAAAAGCATCATCATGGCCAGTATCTTTATCTCAAAGGAAAGAATGTAAGCATGRGCATGTACCTAATTACAACTTACAAGGAACAGCCAAAAGAAATTCAGGGTCCAAGCATACCGTGGCAATAATAAGAAATGCTGCAACAGGAAATCTCTTGAACCTAAATGGAGGAACAGAGTAAATAGTGCCAAGAAAAAGACCAATACAATAGAGAAACGTGATGAATGGACCAAAATTTACTCCAACAATAAAAAGTCCAGCAGCTGCAAAAAATAACACCAAAAACCATGCTGACTGAACTGAAAGATCCCCCGCAGCTATAGGTAGGTAAGGCTTGTTTACCCTGTCAATCAAACAAAAAAGAAGAAAACCTGAAAAAAGATTTTTTATGCACACATATGTTAATAAAAACATGATAAAAACTGACATATTAGTCTGCATGTGTCAAAACTTCTCTTACTTGTCAATCCCAATGTCATAGATCTGATTAATGCCCACTATGTAACCATTTCCACATATAAGAGCAAAGAGACCAGAAAATGCCTTAAACAGCAATGACCATCTTATCAGATTTGGGTTCTCAATCAATGCTCTTGCTACCAAAGAACTGTCAGAAAATAAAAAGATAACTACAGTCAAGGATACACAAAGTTCCATAAATCAATGGCAATGCCTACGAGATCAATCACTTCACTTGGTAATGACTTACATAGATCCCAGTGTAGTCCCTCGGATTGTGTGAGGCCTTAGAAATCTCCAACAAGCATCTTTGAACTCAGAAGTTTTGTTCAGTACTGGATCAGATCCAGCAGCTCCAGCTTGACTAGAAGCCTGTCCACCATCACTTTCTAGTCAGTGTTATAAAAGTAACTCTAAAATAACTTCATTTATCAAATGAACTGATTTTTCTGTAAAAGAAACTCTTAACAATAAGCTTTCATACCGACTTGGAGCAAAATTACATTGATTTAATCAATACAACATCTAAATTAGACCAACATCCTCATTTCTTTACAATGCTTAATATATTCATCCTTGGTGCTTGGAGAATAGAAGGGGACTCATCTTACCTCAGAGCTGGGTCAAAGGAGTTGAGCATGATTATCAGGACAAGAAGACTGCATTGCTGCACAAATACTACCAAACAGGTTGGTTGGTGGCAATACTTTCCTCATCATTTTTTTCTTTAATTTTTTTTTTAACGTACAGGGTATGATGTTATATGGTATCCTGGTTAAAAACAACCGTACAATCACAACATTATGGCAGTATGACAGAAATGCTGTGAGGGTCTGGCAGGCAACGGGATTTGCCACCAACCACAAAGGGATTTGACACAAATCAAGATTTAGAAATGATTTCCACTGCACATACTGTTGGTTATAAAAGGGATTTGCCAACGGGAAGTTATTCCGCAACTACAAAGGCAGGGTATCCATGAAAATTTCAATCTCAGTATCCTCTTAGACTTAATCAGGATCACGACACACTGACACTTTATCAGTGTCTAGTTTTAGAGTATTCAACGAGTGGAGTAACTCCATGACCCGGAGTCACTTGAGCAGAGAAATCTCGCATATATGGGGCTCCAACTAAGTCCACTGGTTGGTCCAACCATGCAGTAATCCTTTTTGAATACTTGATAGAAACTAGAAACAGGGAGGTTTCGGCAGACTAAAGAACCTCGTAAAATAGAAAGACAATTGAACATTGTAGTGAAGAAATATCTCTAGCTTTACGAGCACAGCTTCCTCTTACTAAAAAAGGAAATCCCTCAAAAGCTATCTCTAAGCTCATCAACCCACTAGAATTCTGTTTAACAAATACAAGAATTCCAAATTCAAAGTAAGAATTGCTAGAAATAAAATATACCCATATGGAAAAATGCCTTGTATGTCTTCTCGTTACAGGTCTGATGCAGCAGCTGAAGGTAAGTACCGATAAGCTCCTTGAGTTCCTCGATGAAAGAGCAGCAAATTTGCAGGTGGGGTTACTCTTTTGATGATTCCAATTGTTGTAAATGGGAGCAGAAGCCGGAATCCGAAGATGAGATGGAGGGGAGTATAAAGAAAGCTCCATTGACGAGAGAGACCAACGGAAACAATTTTCAGGGAGGTTACCACTTCCCTGCTCCCCATATTTTTCGTTTCATACGGACCTCTAACATCTTGTGCAAGAGATCATCAATGAGTCCGCCCCACAACGCCCCACAGCACATCCTCGCCGTGCATTGGGAGCATCTCCCGAAGAAATTACCACATGATGTCATTATTGAGAAATGTTCCAATACACGGTGGGGATGTGCTGTGTGGAGTATTGTGGGGCGGAGATGTAAATTCACACCATGTATTGGAAACATGTCTTACAAGCACGAAAGATGTTCATGTGCCCGTGAGGTCGGTGTAAGGCGCCCTATGCTTGGAGCAGATCCGGTCTCATCATCAACCGGAAACCACTTCGGATCGTTTGCGCTTGTAGTCTACGGCTGTTCATAAGAATGCCCAACTCGATCAAACCGACCAACCCGGATTGACCCAACCTGAGTCGGTCGAGTTTTCATCAGTATCGGTCGGTTTCGGGTTGGGCAAATATATAAATTGATATATCGGGTCGGTTTCGGTTTTCTTGTGTGAAAACCAAAATCAACCCGACCCGAACCGAACTAGTATTTCTACTAGTTCGGTAGTTCCTAGTTTGAGTAGTTTCCTACTTAACTATAACTAGTCTTCTACTAGAACTAGAAGGCCCATTAGGCAATTACAATTAGAATAGACAATCTATCCTAGTTTCTAACTTTTTATAATCTTTTACACCAAATAGGCAACCCATTAGGCAATTACAATTAGAATTCAATTAAGTGTCCTTTTGTACAGGAGCAAAACCGAAACCGACCCAACCCGACCAGGTCGGTTTGGCCTATCAGTGGGTCGGTTTCAGCTTCCACCTCAGGTAACCCGACCAAGTCGGGTCGGTTGGAAAAACCCCAATAAACCGACCCAACCCGATCCGTGAACACCCCAAGCTTGTACTCGTTGGAAAGTTCCTTCTAGGAGCTGCTGGATTAGCTGCTTGCACTCGAAGCTCGATGTGTGTATTCTGCTCCTCACACAGGGGCGCCTCACATGTACATTCACCGTGCATTGGGAACATCTCCCCTGAATAATAAATTATAATTACGGGAGATATTCCCAATGCATGGTGGGATGTGCGTGTGAGGAGCAGATCTGGTCTCCATTCCAACAACCTAATCTACCAACATGATCCAACACCCCACATCAAAAGATCCCACTTTTATAATGCCTCTCAGTCTCATGGTGAGATATGTGGTTTTATATTAAGTGTTTTGTTGATGGAAGATCCCAACTCGCCATTTGTATAGAATATTGGCATTGAATTCGGATCTCCTACCAACAAAATACGTTTTAAGATCCTATCATGGTTTTATCCAAGGTTCAAAGTATCGACATGTATTGGCTAATACGTATCGTTCCGGGGCCCTCCGATATGCTCATATAATGGGTGTATCGGAGGTCTAACCGGTTTAGGGGTAGAGGAGACCTAAACCGGCCCCCCTGAACCAGATGCGAAAAAAATAAAAATAAAAAAACTCTAAAATGTGTATCAGTTCACCCAATACGCCCCCATTGGCATATCAGGCATATCGATATTTTGAACCTTGGTTTTATCATACACGGTCTTTCCCACTTTTATGGTGGGTCCTAATCTCATGTTGAGATGTACGGTGTTAGATCAAGTTAGTAGGGTGTTGGRATCTATTTTGTTGGTGGGGTATTTGGACTTAAAATCTACACACATGGTGAAAACCTGGAATCTTGCTCCTATATTGAGAATATCTTCCCATGAACTAAACATAAATGTACGGAGATATAATGAAAGTGCAGTTGGATGCTATGTGAGAAGAACATCAACACACTGTTAAGTACTAACATTGGTTTGCTTAGACTTATTAGAGATTATTTGAAAGAGAATCCTCTCTCATGACATTTGGAATAGCATTTATGTTTGTACTCCTATCTGATGTAAAATTTGCACATTTGGTTCAGTTTGAAAAGAGTATAAATGCAAATATGTACAGCGTAAATACATATAAAATAATACAAAATATAAGGTTTTGCACTTTATTATTTGCATTTGTACTCCTTCCAAACTCAGTCTTTTTTGTTTCATTTTCTCTCATTGGTAATATAAATTTTTGACACAATTTGCACCAACATCCTTTTAACCAAGGTTTAATGTATCGATATAATATATTTGATATTGAACATACCAAAATGTATGAATAGGCCTAATGCAGATTTTTGAATTCCACTGCAAGTTATAAACATTCAAAATGTCAAAAAACCCCACTTTATACATTAATGCCCGCCCGTGAATTGACATCAATTTCGAACTGACACCTACCTCAACTGTAATTTGTGCCTAAAAATTCTGACCCTGAGCTGAATCGTCATTCTCCCTTGAACATATTATATTGATTTTCAAGGTTTTCAATATAACAAATAACAAGAGTTAGGTATTTTACAATCATTTGTATCATAACCTTGTCATACTTGATAGAGGTCATGAGACTGCCATTACAGCCTCAGTTTTAGTGTATCAATACAAGTTCAAAGTTTTTAAGCGAATTAGATTTTCAGATTTGAATTCAAAATCTATGCTTGTAAGATCCGATCAGATTTTCAGATTGAATCGAATGGGATTTGGGTATACTGTAATTTGTATCCGATCTGATGTATTTGCATCCCTATGAATTAGCATATATCAGAATTGATAAATCATTCTATTTAATGAAAATACTAGCGAAGGGGCCCTGCTTCGCAGGGGCTGAAATGGAACTGTTGACCCATTGATTAGGTATGTTCATGGGTTGGGTTGGGTCGGTTAACTGGCATTTTTTCAACCGACCCGACCTGGTCAGTTTACCTAGAAATGAAATCGAAACCGACCCAGTACTAAGTAAAACCGACCTGGTTGGTTTGAATCAGGTTGGGTCGGTTTTGTGAATGATTTTCTCGGTGTGAACGGTAAAGGATTCAAGTCTAAGAAAGCAAAGGCTGGATGCCTGAAAATAAAAAAAATGATTTGATGGATTAAAACTGATATTTTATAAATCAGAAATTTTATATATAATATGTATATTTATGAAATAAAGTTGAAATATATATATATATCCACAAATATATATCTGAAATATATATATATATATAGTAAAACTGAAATATATCAGATATATATATATATAATATCTGAAATATATTATATATATAATATATATCTAAGTCGGTTTGGGTCGGTTCGGTTTTACACATGAAAATCGAAACCAAACCGAACCATCGGTTTATGTTTTTTTGTAATCCAAAACCGACTAGTGCTGAAGAAAAACCGGCCAACTCGGATTGGATCGGACTGGGTTGGTCGGTTTGGGTCTTGTTATGAACAACCTTACCGTTGACCTAGTCCTGGGCCAAAAACCGTTGAATCAATCAACGATCCATTGACACGATCGGTTGAACCATCGATCCGTTGACCCATATAATGGTTTTTGGTCGTTTTTATTTTTTAATTGGGAACCATCTAGGCAACCAGTTCCATTTTATCTTAATCTCGACTTCTAGCTAAAAATCATTGAATCGATCAACGACACATTGACCCGGGCGGTCAAATCATTGACTCGGGCGGTCAAATCATTGACCTGTTCAATGGTTTTTAGTTATTTTTTTTATTTTTTTAATTTTTATTATCAGAACGGGCCATTTATTTGAACCAAACAGTTGAACCGTTGACCTGAAAACCAGTGGCCAGAATGATTCCATTTTCAGGTCGTATGAGTCACACACTCGAATGACATAACATGTATGGTACTTGATAGTGCACGATCCGTAAGCTCCTAGTTGGAAGATGACTTGGACCTTAGTCGTGTAGCAAGCTGGGGTGGCTAACCCGATGAGGTTGCTCTGATGCTTAAGTCAGTATTGGTTATGCGAGCTAAAAGTTTGTATGCTAGTAAGCTAGTTAGCAAATAATCGTGCGTACTGAATCTTAGGGGTTGATGCCCTTATATAGTTGGGATGCCATAGGTCTCTCAAAATGTTCTTGGAATCTTCGGCTTGTGATGTTGGGATCCGTTCCGCTTAGTTAGGGGAGTGACACATCGATTACGTGGCACCTTGGCATATATGGGTACCGAAGTGATTTTAGCTCCAAGGCGGCCGAGCACCCGAGCTCCCCGATTTGCTGACATGGCACTTTGTGTTGAGTTGTCGTCCTACTAGCAGGCCGCATCCACGTGTTCTTTATTTACTAGGTCGAGTCAAATCGCCCCTCATCAGTATTGCTTAATGGACCTCACACACTCAATTTTTTGCCTATAACTTTTGTTGTCAGAATGGGTCATCTGTTTTTTATTTTTTATTTTTTAATTGGGAACTGTCTAGGCAACTTATTCCGTTTGACCCCAATCCCAGTCCTTGGCCAAAAATTGTTGAATTAGTCAATGACCCATTGACCCGTTCAATAGTTTTTGGCCATTTTTTTTTTTAATTTTTGTTATCAGAACAGGCCACTCGTTCGAACCTGACGGTCGAACTGTCGACCCGAAAATCGATGGCCATAATGGTTCCATTTTCGGGTTGTATAAGTTACACGCTCGAATGACATAATATCGTGCTTTTTAAAACCGATCTGGAGACCAAACCGGTTAGGGGTCCAGTTACCGGGTCAAATGGTTTGACTGTTCGAATCGAATGGTCGGCCCGTTCTGACAAAAAAATAAAAAAAAATTGAAAAATGACCAAAACCATTCAAATGGTTCAAACAATTTGGTATCTAGTTATTAACAATATTTATAATAACTATTATATATTTATATACTTAGATAATTATATAAACAACAATTAGATAATTATAATAACTATATTATTAATTATATATAATAACTAAAACCGTTGAATCAGTCAATGACCCATTGACCTGAGTGGTCGAATCATCAACCCGTTGACTTGTTCAATGATTTTTGACCGTTTTTATTTTTTATTTTTAATTTTTGTTGTCAGAATGGGCCATTCGTCGACTCGAAAATCGGTGGTCAGAACGGTTCCATTTTCGGGTCGTATAAGTTACACGCTCGAATGACATAACATCATGGTTTTTAAAACTGACCTAGAGTTCGAACTGGTTAGGGGTCCGGTTACTGGGTCGAGTGATCCGACCGTTCAAACCAAACGATGGCTTATTCTGACAAAAAAATAAAAAACAGCCAAAACCGTTCGAACGGTTCGATATTTAGTTATTAACAATATTTATAATAACTATTATATATTTATATAATTAGATAATTATAATAATAATATTTATAATTATATATAATAACTATTATATATTTATCTAACAATATTTATATAATTAATAGGAAATGGGTTGCTTTCACGTAGAAATTACTTGCAGATTCCATTTCCTGGACGGAGAGAGCACCCCAATCCTATAAAAGATATTTTTAAGTTGAAAAAAAAAATCATAGTCTATTATCATTTGATCATGCCTGGGATGAATCCGGATTTGCTACTTATGGAGAGCACCTCCATATTTTGAGTGCTCTAACATTGAGGGCTGAAACGCTGGACAAAGATACTTTAAATATGTAAAGCGCCTGTACCTCAGTGGATAGAGCGTTTGTTTCCTAAGCTGAAAGTCATAGGTTCGACCCCTACCTGGCGCGTTTTCTACTTTAAATTGATTTGAGCAATTGATATTAAGAGTAAATTTAGAAAATAAATCCATTTTAAAAATATAGATCGAAAGGGTTTAAACTAGTAACAATTAATAGGAAGAAACAAATTTAGAAAATAAACACTTTTATGGAAAATAACTATATGGGTATTTTGGACATTTTCATGCCTCTTGTTAGAGGATTCTAATGAAGAGAATCTGTTTGCAAAAAATTCAAGGGAGATAATTGCAATTACCAAACTTTAAGGGAAGTTTTAACAAAAGTCAGAAGCTTCAGGGGAGGTTTCACCAATTTACCTTTTGTAATTATGATCAAGCGATTTTGTATGGTTGTTTCTTCAACGGTATTATATTACGAATCTGGATCTTAGTGCGTCCTGCACAAGTTCCTGAACGTTCAATTGAAGGATTCCATTTAAGCATCCCATCATGTGCAAATGTGGTACATACAAAGAATGTAAACGGACGTCAAACACCCTTTTTCCTATTAAACATTAGAAAATTAAATGAAGAAGAAAGACATAACAGTTTGAATAAATTTACCCATAAGAGACGTGAGGGAGAGGGGTTCCCACAAATCCTGTCTTTTTCCCAATTCCACATTCTACTCCACCGTTACCACCAGTTTCGATAATTCGGTAGTTATTACCTCTCCTCCATCGTGTAATGGTGGCATAGGAGGAACTATTCATCCTCTGCATCCTTTGTCAAATAGATGTTGCACTGTCTCGCCACCTCCCAACCTCTCCCTTTCTCAGGCCTAGTCCAACTCCATCTAGTTGAAGTCTTCTTTTTATTTTTCTCAATTGGTCTCTCATCTGTCATTGCTTTCTTTATGGAGATAAAAATAAAACTCATAAATAATAATTAGATTAGACTTGTAGATCTATAATTTGGCACAATGGAAAAGAACTTGGGAGTATCAAATTGTTTCTGTACAAACATTTTGATTTGATAATGAGATTGGTATTGAATTATTTGTTCTTTCTACAAAGTTATTATCATTTTTTTTTATTTTTAAAATGCAAATTAAGATGATTCTTTTCTCTCTCTCTCTCTCTTTTTCTTTATGTTTGTTTGGAAATACCAAAAAGTTTATGGTGGTGGAATGATGGTTTGGGAAACAAAATGGAATGAGCATCCTCCAATTCACCGACCATGTGTTGTGGGTGTGTGGAAATTAACAGTAGAAAGCCGTGATGGTGAATAGAACGATGGTTCTGGGAAACCAAAAGAGTCAAAACTTTCCAAATGGCAAACAATGGGAGAAGCAGGGGTGATAGCAGTCAGACAGAATACCCACTTAAATCATGATATGTCTTATCCAAACTGAAATCACGATATGTCTTATTGGAAAGAATTTCTATGTCAGTATGTCACCTGTCTAGTAGGAAACAAAAAGGGTGATGATGGTGAGGATAAAGGGTTTGTTGGTAAAAACATGAAGAAGATGACCCCTGTTATCCTCCACCAAATTTGTTTCTCATGACTGGGTTGGATGGTCGAAACTTTTTTTTTTTATTAATAACTTTCTAAAATTAATTAAATAAATTAAATGAACATCTTGTGACATCCATTAAATTGTTCGCACATGTGCAACATTCATAATGTATGTGTGATGCTGATTTGTCGTGGTATGTTTGGATGTACAGGAAGTTGTGTAGAACGGGCTGTGCAAGAGATCCAAACTCAATACATTGAGGCTGTGTTCAGTTTGAATAGGAAAAAGTAGGAAAATCTTTATAAACCTTATAGACTTGGCTAGCTTTCCCTACTTTTTCCTTCAAAGCCATACAAAGCCTGAGATTTTATTGCTGTTATAATGCTACGATTTTACTAAATTTTCACACAAAAATGATTTAGGCACACCGCACACCATACCACAGTTGATTTAATTTGATATGTACGCACCAGTTTCTGGGTTGAATAATCGGACCATCCAGTTAGAATAGACCAATTTGACTGTCTAGTCAGTGGGTTGTTGATCAAACCAACGGTTTTTTAAATTTTGACCTAGGAGCGGTTTTAGGGTGAAACGGAACCAATTACCTGACTAATTCCTTCCCGGGTCAACTGGTCCTATCCAATTTTTAAAAACATGCATTTTATAAAGGAAAATCAATAGCGGATAACTTCTCACAACAAAAACTGTCCCAACACGATCTTATCTGCGTCCACCATGGGAGTTTGGGACCAGTGCAGCATGAGATATTTAATTTTTTTGTCCCTTGAAGACGAAGATGAAGGTCAATCTCGGAGTAAGCCAGAATTTGAATTGGCTAACCATTAAAATCCAACTGTTTATTTTAGTGGGGGCTTGATTTGTCTCTGCATAAAAGTGTGCAAGACAAGATCCTTGTGTATTAATTTCCATTCCATTTACATTTCTCAGAATTGGCCAGATTCTGAATTCTATCAAATGCTTGTGAGTTATCATCTTTCTTTCATTGTCATTGCCAGTGGCCAGTGGGAACAAAACAAAGAACCATTCCTTTTTTTTGTGGGCACAGGAGTTTGCTTAGAAGGAATAAGATAGCTATTTGGAAAACAAACAGCCTTGGGCTGTTTAATATTATTCTTTTAATTGAAATAGACAAATAAAGAAGTAAGTCAGGTAACGTATCATCACGTATAGGAAGCTTCAAGACAGCCCGAAAATTGAATCTGTAAGTGTATGTGTACTACAAATTTAAATCTTCCGCTGTCTATACAATAGAGTCTCTTACTAGTACATTCCCCCGTTCCAAAATCTGAAAAACTCTTTAAGTCATAACAACACTCTCAAAATAGAAAAACTCTTAAGATTGAAAGAGGCTCTTTTTTTGGTACATGGTCACTTTTATTACTTCAACCGGAAAATGTCAAAAGGGGCCCTTGACAGTGGAACAATTGGAATCATTTGAAGTCGATTTTTATTCCCAAGGATGGAAATGGAATTACGTCCGACACCAGTTGGATGGATATTCTGATTCCAAACCCATAATCCCCCAACCCAAACGGGCCCTTAATGTTCAAGAGAAATCCATCTACCTCACTACAAAGTACAAACAATACATCCTTTGTAAATTAATGAACACGTGTGCTCATTTTTGCATGTGAAAGCATGGGTATTTCAGCACTTTACCATAAACACACACACACACACAAAAAAAAAGTCCTCTTCATCTTGTTCTCAATGGATCTCTTCGCTTGATACTCTATTTAATTTTTGGGAAAAGTAGAGAGACACACGATGCAGAATTCTGAATTCCAGCCCCCCTACAACTAACCCTGTCCCTCCTATAAATCACATCCTGTCCATAAATTTGGCATCAATTCACGGTCATGATACATTCCCCCTGTATTTTGGGCCTAGTAAATTCTGAGTTGGGCTGATTTGTACTTCTCCCTTAATTTTTTTTCAAGACAATAACTCCATGGCGATAGGTGAGAGAAGGAAGCATCTCCATGGCGTCAGGTATCTTGTTATTCTGTTTTGAATAAAATCTCAGTACCATCGAACTCTGCTTTTTATTTTTTGTTTAATTCAACATGTTGGAGTGTGTTGTTATTCTGTTTTGAATCAAAACCTAGTACCATTAAGCTTTTATTTTTTTTTTAATGTGCCAAATTCATCTACAAAATTCTGAGAATTCTTGGAAATACATTTTTTTCTACAAGGATTTTGAGAATTAGAATTTTTAAAATTAATACCAAACAGAATTAGAAATACATTTTTATTTAAGAAATAAGTGCAATCATACAATTTTTTTATTTTCTAATGATACTCTTAAAAAGACGAACAAAAGGGATATTTGGTCCTGGAATCCATGACAGAAAAAAAAAAATGTAACATAAAATAACGCCCACCGTGGGGCTCGAACCCACGACCACAAGGTTAAGAGCCTTGCGCTCTACCGACTGAGCTAGACGGGCAACCACACCCACTTGTTTTCTTTACCCTTTTATCAGAACAGAGACCACTATAGAATGGAATGCGCAAATCGGATAATACAATTTGATTTTTCTCTCTATACTATAATTGCATTTCTCCCAATTCGTTGTTTCTTCTCGAAGCTGCAACATCATTTTCTTAAAAGAAAGAATTAAAGAAAAAAGCTGTCACAATGAACACCCTCAACTCCAGTTCCCTTCATGACCTCTAATGCGTCCGTAAAAAGAAATCTTCTTCGTGGAACGAGAGGTTTGTTTTTGGTCTTTGCAAGGAAGGATGACCGACATCTTCTGAGCCAGAACTGTACGACAGTTGTGGCAGCTCGTACAAGGTAGAACTTCCATTCTTGCTTGAGGCTTTCATTCCTTTACAGGTCTTCTGCAACCCCACCAAATTTCATGCAAACCGTACTGTTATCTTCAATTTATTATCGCAGCTCATTGTTCACTTAGAGCAATGTGTCTCGGCGACGACTGGCTTGTAAGCAGTACAGCTGCTGGCCAGTTTTCTGATTTGTGGGTTGATTTGATTCACTCGTCGTCTTCTTCGCATTCTTCTCTTCTGTCCAAATTGTTCTGAAAGCCCAACAATTAAAGCTTACAAAATGAGAAAACAAACAGACAACAGTTAATATTTATTGATCGAATCGATCGAATAGCGTGATTACATGTCGTTGTCGTGTTGTTGTTGGTTCCATGCACTACCAACAAGGATCCTCTCGGACCCACCCATCTTCTTCTCTTTACAGATCTTTGCTTCAGAGGAAGGATTCCTGGAAGCTTCATGAACCCGACTGACCACCACTGAATCGTTCGTGTCCACTGTACGGCACGCCATTAGGTTTCGAAACACGAGAGAAGCTCCGCTCGAGTAGCTCTTGCTCTTCAGTAACGGAGATCTCGTCGACGCTACTGCTGCTGGTGCTGGTTCGGCCTTGTCTATGTTCTTCTTGCTCTTCTTTCTCAGCAATGATCCGGGCAACAACGTTTCGTCAATCTTCTCCTTGGGTTCCTGCTGCTTCTCTTCATGCGTGAAGCCTGAATTCGATTTGGTTGAGTCGTCCGTCACCGTCGACGTTTTCGAGTTGAGCGGTTCTAAGCTTTCTTCCTCGATTTCAGTGGTCCTGGGAGGGATTTCTATCTTGGGTTCCAGTTTTTCACCATCGGTTTTTTGTGTTAAAGATTTCTTTTCACAGCATGAACAGCTATCTGTCAGTGATCAACACAGGAAAAAGAAAGCATTATTAGCGGCAATTAATTCATATAAATTTCTTTATTAATCGGAATTAAATTGAGGTTTAAATGGATTACAAAAGGGGACGACGGGGATTTCGGATCCTTTGAGGACGTATTCATTATCTGCGACTGGAGTTATGAGGTCATCGTCCATCAAGTCTTGCCATACATAACCCATCTTGTATCTCCTGCAATGAGAATCGATGCTAAACCAGAGCCAATTAGAACTGTCTGTGACTGTGAGCACCAGAGAAAACCATGGGCAGAAAATCATGTTCTTTTCTGACCTTTTGTACGACCAAGCAAAAGAATCTGGCATGTCTTTTCCTCGCAAAAACGAAAGCCATCTCTTAACATCTGCTCAGAAAAATAAAAACCAAATCGGGAACAGTTCATCACAGAGAGAGAGAGGACGGGGGGTATACGATGTGCCAAACCTCGCAAATGGACGCCATTTCGACTCAGGTGATGAACACGGATGAGGTGGGGATGCTCGATTCGACCCATTCGACTGAGAAAGTAAATGATATGAACTCGCCTCATCCCTCCTGCGCCTCCTCCTCCTCCTCCTCCTCCTTTGGCTTCCATTCTTCTGCAAAAGACGACCCAAATCTTCTTTTCAAGCAAAACCCATCAAGTTTTTGAAAAATTCTTTTTCTAATTAGAACAAAGAAAAGAAAACCCACTACCATACCACGCCAGAGAAATCAGAAATCGATGTCTGCCGGCTCTGATCCAGAAAAAAGGCCGACAAGAAAAACAAACATTCTCCCTCACTTTCCGACCATTGATTATACAACGACCACTTTTAATATAAACAAAAGCAAATTTGCAGCCAGGCGACAGCGAAAAAATCCCAACATCAAATATAAAAATGCAACAATTTCTCGTAGAAACCAAAAGAATGTGGAGATTCGACATTACCGATTTGTCTCTACCTCCTTCTTGATCCTAAAATTTGCCTTTCCTCGCTTTTAACGTCGCTTTGCTTTCTTGTTAGAGTCTTGAGAGTCGAGAGTCGAGACCAGAAGCGTTGGGTGACTGCTGTGAGTAGTGATTCTGCAGAGAAAGGTGATCGTCGACCGGATTTCGAGCTATTTATATATACGAAGAGTGCGGGGTGTTAACTTCTCAAGATAATCCGTTGATTTCCCGCGAGATTTGATCGTGGAGGGTATTTCGGTAATTGGAAGAGGGATAAATTGACAAAAGTGACCCCCATTTTTGGATTGGTTCAGTTCAACTAACCTATTGGCTATTGCTTTGCTTATAATATAATATTAATACCTATATATATAAAGCATTTAAAATTGAAGTGACCAAAGCACCCATGCTTAATTTTGTAAAATATTCAAAATTTGGTGGTTTTACAGGGATGCTTTTGGAATTACACAACATGGTCTATATCAAATCTGGTATGAAACAGGAAGGGGGGGGGGGGGTGGTTTGTTCACCTAATTCTCGGTTCCTGATTCCTCTTAATATAATAAATATATATTTATTATATATATAACCGTTGGTTTATGATGTCATTGTTATTACTGTCATTATAGAAATATGATCCTATCTGGTCACTGAATGGGGAGTACTCTAACGACCAAAATCATAGCAAGTCGTCATCATGGAGGGTGGAATTTCACCATGTCTGCAGGGTGTTCGGATCTGGTCCCAAATAAGTAATTGCAGCTGTACACTGACTATATGCATATTCATGAGGTTGTATATATATATATATTTGGTTAGATTTGGATTGATAAATTTAGGTTTCAACATCGGCCAAAGTTTCATTTCAGTATTGGTACTGATAATCTTAATCCAATCCAATTCATCTAATTTATACAATCCACATCTTCTCTCAACAAAAGATATTTCAACACCCTTCCAATATGATCGCGATTCATGCACATATGGTATATATGGTGAATTCCCATCTCATGATGAGATGGGATTATGTTGGAATGAGGTTTGAAAGAGAGAGAGTATCAAAAGTAAGTTATAAAATAAGACCCGGCCAAAATGATTTTTATTATTGGCATCTTGTATTTTAAATAATTTAACATAAAAATAAATAGTCACAAATGTGAAAAATAGAAGCCGAATGAGATACATGTGAGCTTTGTTGTGAGAGGACCCTTCATCTCTGCTCTTTCATCTTTCTTGTATACATAGATTGATTGATATGCCGCTATTCTATGCGAGAGAAACCATCCTTTGCCTTGTAGGGGCAAAAATGAAATTATGACATGTATGATGCACGTGATCTTGTGTAAATGGCCCTAAAAATTACACTAACATATGGCCTATGTGTGTCAAATGGACCATTCACAAGATAAATTTAAGTAGTTTTAGAAAAGAAGGATATATTTTGGTGTAAAAAAAAAAGAAAGTAAAGGTATATTTAAGTAGTTTAGTCAAATTAATCAAAAGGTATATTAAAGGAAAATCTATGATGCGGGAAAACATGATACCACAAAGCCTTTGACCAATCAAATCCCTCCTGAATTTTGATGAAAATCCACCTGATTGGTTATCACTTTTATGATGTGGGTTGATTGAATATGATGATGTCTTTTGGCATCATAGTCAAACCCAATTAAACTATTTAAGTAATTAACCCAATAATTTTATATTCTAGTTGATACACCAAATCATTCTAATATGTCTAATGACAAAGTAGAGATTGAAAGGTTAATTGGATAAATTGTTAAAACCTCTCATAAGACTCAATTTAAAAAAAAAATACAAATATGTACAATGCAAATACATACAAAATATAAGGTTTTACGGTTTATATATTTGCATTCATATTCCTTCTTCTTTCAGATGTATCGAATCATTTTATTTTGCTTTAATGTTCGTTACTTGTTAGAGCAGTAAGCTACCTGCTACTAAGCTTTTATCGAAGAACAAAAATAATTTTCATCAAGTACGTACGTCATATTAAGAATTTAAGAAGCAGAGAGCTCGAGTTTCAACTCATTCAACGGAATGAAAAAGAAAAGCATAGAAATTCTTACTTATATTCTCTCAACTCTAAAGATCTCGGGAATACGAAATCGCGAAATTCCAGGGCAACAATGGTGGAGGTGATCACTGAACTGGTTCAACACAACAGATAACAGAGCCCAAGTTGGATGAGAGAGAATCTCGAGGTCAGGTTCTATTCAGTAATGCCGTTTGTAGTTGCAACAGTTTTCAACTGCAATTCATTTTTTTAGCAGCCTGAGAGAGTAGTATCAGTAGATTGCGTCCGTTTCTGTAGATGGTGTCATGGTGAATAGTTTAGTTTTGTCATGTCAGTGTCACACAACATGATGACGCTCTAAGCCTCTATTTATATATTTTTGCTTTTGTTTTAAACTTCAATTTCAACTACCATACATAGTGTCATGGTGTATTTCCCATCAATGTTTTAAGAACTGATTTAGAGGGACGAACCAGTTTTTATTTTCGGAATGTGGGTCACTGGTTTGATTACCTGGGTTGAATGGGTCAGATTGTAAATATGATTTTATACTTAATTTATATTTTTAATTTTGTTTTTATTTTATTTTTATAAAAATGTTTAAATTTAAGATTTTGAGGCCTATAAAAGTTTTTTTTTTTTTTTTGGGGGGGGGGGGGGGGGGAATAATGGGCAAGGTGCATAGATGTCAAAAAGTTATTAAAAAAAAAATAATCTCAATGTAAAATTATGGCATTTGAAAGTTTGAACATACATTGAGCATCCAATTTATAAAAATAGATTAATAATTCAAGCGCATGAATTGAATGGTTTTTGACCAGGTCAACATTTTTTTTGAGTAAATGTTAGATTTTAGGAGAACCAGACCCAAAATCGAAGTTGGGTAATGGTTCAAACGGTTCAAGTGGCCAGATGAACAACAGATTCAAAACACTACTTACCATTAAAGAGTAAAGAGTAACAATGTTAAAGATATCACGGTAACATGTTGCCTTTGCTTTATCATTGATTGGTTCACATTTGAGTTATGTTGCAGCAATTTACATATAATGCACCGTAGATTTTAGAAAGTGTACTATCATTCATCTAATATCAAATTGAATAAAAGTTGCATACAGACAAAGAATTCAGAACGGGACTAAAGAACCAACTTCTTGAGGCGTGAAAACTCTCCCCAGGAGTTGAGATCTGCTACCAACTAGACACTTCCAACATACACAACTGGCCACTGTAACTGCACACTAAGAACTTCTTCCCATAGGGAGATATTACCAATATACGGCTGTAATGGTATATTGGAACATTATTGGAAACATTTTTGATGGTAGAATATCCCTATCCCCTCCCAGTCCCCAGCGGGGAAATATCACAAGAGAGTAACAGCATCACAATGACAATACCCATTCGAGAATGGAATCCCAACTTCAAAAGTTGGGAACCTTTCTAACCATTCGTGTATCACAACTTAATTAATGGCTTTTGATTTATTTGATTCGTAGACGGGTAGGTACGAGTAGGGATGTGTGGCAAGAAAATTTTCATTGTTTATTATCTTAGAATTAGAATTAAATAGTATGGTACATGTGATGCTTGTTGTTATGGATACATCGCCTGACAGCACATTGCGGTGTAGTCACAGGCAACGGTACACACAGCAGGCTGCGTAGCAGCATGCACTGCCCGGCATCGTTTGGCAGCGCGTAGCACGCATCGCCCGACAGCAGCACGTGCTACACAGCAGCAGCAGTAGAGCGGGACCCACACGACAGCTCATTAGGGTGGGTCTACACTTATCTCTTCTCGCCAACTTGTCGTCAACTACTCCATCTTATCTTATCTTATCTTATCTTAAATGGGAGTTGTGTTACCATTAGGAGTAGGTAATTAGGAGTTTGAGTTTAACTAGGAATTTCCTTCTGTAATCTCCTATTTAAGGAGCCACGAATTAATGGAAAGGCATTGAATTTTCGATCAAGAGAAGTGCTTAAGAGAGTTAGGGTGATCTCTTGGACAAATCACCCCCTAGTTCGCCACAATAGGGTCAGCACGCAAAGGGAAGGGCAAGGGAAGGCTAGGATTTTTCCCCGTGGACCGCCCCGTGACGAGATCCTACATGCAATAATAATTTCAGAGATGTGTTTAAATATTTTTTTTATAAGATTTAGATTTTTTTGTAGTTTTTTATATTTTTATTGAAGTTCAAATTCTTATTATTTAATTATAACATTACGAATTGACTCATTTGACCTAATACAAAAAACCATTTTGTTTTTGTGTCAATTTTAAAATTCTTACTCTATTTCCATCATCAATAAAAATAATTTTTATTTGACTTATTTTTTGTGTAATATGATGAATGTGTAATATTAACGATGTTTCCTAACTTTTTATGGTTTTTCTATAGCTTTTTGTATTTCTATCTATTTTCTAATTTTTATTACTTAACTATGATTGATATGATGGGTTAACCTAGACCATTGAGTTGTTGACCTATCACCCAAGTGGAACAATTTTGTTTCCTAGTCATGGATTGAATCATTTATCTTTGTTTGATACATGTGATTAACATATAATATTAGAGTTATGTTTAACTATGACAACATAGGCTGACCCATTGACCCAAATGGTTGAACCATTGATGCACCATTTAGATAGGAAAGTGCTTTCATTTCTTGGTTGATTTTAAATATTTAGTATTTAATTATTGCATCTTTGATTCACTTGTTTAACCCAAGCCATTGAATTGCTTACATGCCACCTTGAAAATCAATTTTCATTTTCAGATCTATTTTTTAAATATAGGTTTTATAATATAAAAATTAGTATGTGTTCATAAATATGAATAGCAGAATTTAATGTTGAGGGACAAAAAAATACCTCTCAAGTATATGATTCAATGAGAGAGAATGAGAGTTAATGCCTTAAATATGAGATTTAATGAAGTAATAAAATACATCGAAAATCAATATCTAAATTACAAATTTATCCTCAATATACAATAACCAATTTCAAAGATATTTTAGTCAAGGAAAAGTCCAAAGCGTTGGGAGCTATTTACATGGTTAGTTTTATTTTTACTGATGTGACAATTATTTTTATTTTTACTACTGGGTCGGTTGTGATTCTTAATCTATTATCTCAATGTCCAAAAATCTTGATATTTTTTACCAATTTGGGACCAATTCTACCCTGTCCCGATCAAGACCTGATCTATTGACAACCCTACAAATACCCCTTTTTAAGTTGAATTGGAATCTACTTCTCATAGAGCGCACCTCACACCGACCTCACAGGCATATCCCACTGTGCATTGAGAACATCTCCCATGAATAATAACACAAAAATATGGGAGACATGGTAGGAAGTGCCTGTGAGGTGTGTTGTGTGAGGAGCTGATCCCAAAATTCTCGATTAGTACCCTGTACTTTGGCTCGGATGACAACTTGGTCCCCAAACTTTAAAATGTGACAATCCAATACTCAAACTTTCAAAATGTGACAATCCAGTACTTATCGTTAACAGTTCGTTAATCAACCATTAAGTGACATTTGAAAAGTCAAAAATGCCCTTTGAATGCTATCTAGTTCTCTTTATCAACCATCCAAACATTGACAAAAAACTGAACAGTCCCAAATCCTAGCCTCTTCTATTCAAAAAAATTGGTGATTGTTTAGAAGAATCTAGAATTTGGGACTATTCATTTTATTGTCAATGTTTGGATGATTGATAAAGAGAATTAGATGGCATTCTTAGAACTTTTTTGACTTTTCAAGTATCACTTAATGACTGATTAATGGACTTATTAACGGCTGGATTGTCACATTTTGAAGATTCAGATACTGGATTGTCATATTTTATGAATTATCGCATTTTAAAATTCAGGGGCTAAATTATCACTTGAGCCAAATCAGGATTTTTCACTTCTTTTTAAGTCAGGGAGGTCACCACCGCCAAGTTGTCACGGGGTTAATCGTTGATGCCCCGTGTGGCACTCGAATGGGGCGAGTAAGCCTAAGCAACAAAGCAAACACACACAAAAAGGCAATAAGATGGCACACGAATTAGCAAAAGGATATTTGTATTGCATTAATAGATGGCAAGTACAAGCGCACAGTTCTGTGTCGAGGGAATCTCGTGCTTAACCTTTACATGCTACTAATTCACTCAACTACCTACCTCCCCTCAAAGAGTACGTTAAGATTTTGGGGGAGTGACATAAGAAAACATCAAAAGAGTGGAAAATCATACTAGGTATTTACAATAACACCATTGGTGGTCCCCCCTTACAAGATACATACATAGCCCACTCATGACACACAAGATGACACCATGAAGGCACGTTGTAGGCACTCTAATGGCACGAAGGTAGGTGCTTGATGGCGCGGTGAAGGAGTCACTTGTGACAGTCTCCCCCACTCAATTCGATCTACGTCCTCGGAGATCGGCTTCGGCTGGTCCCATAGAGTCCCTGATGCGGAAGGAAGGTTCTTCTGCTGTTCCACGAATCGGTTGTCGTCCAAGGCTGAGGTGTATATTTTGGTGGCATGGTTAGGTTGGCTTGTTCTGTTGGGGTTTCCTATGGCTAAGTCCTTTCCTGGTGGCCTCAAGGTATGTTAGTGGCTAGTTCAGCTTGGCTATAGGGAATGTTTTGGCCAAGTAAGGGTCAAAATGGTATTTTGGATTGTATGGGTGTTGGTTCCCATGAATTTTTCCCCAAGGGTGACTCATAGGGCTACTACGAGATTTAGCCTGAGGGATGGTGCGATAGTGGTCCCTAAATGGCTTGGGTGGCACTCACTCTCCCCAGTGGTTGTGGTAGTAGATGTGGGCGAAATTGGACACAGCCTTGGGTCTTCTGTTGAACCCATCAGTTAAGGGCATATGAGGCTTTTGCTGATGTCGTTGCTGTTGTGGCGTTGTCTTCTTGTTGGAGTTGGCACGACCACATCTGGTGGTAGTGTCCTTGGTTGCTGCTGCCGAGTCCTTTGATGTCTCTTGATGTGGGGTTGGATGTTGGAGCTGAAGGGCTAAGACTTGTTTCTTCTTGGTGTCAGTTGAAACAATCATTTCGACCATACAAGGGGACGACTCATCCATGATCAGCAAGTCCATGAGGTGTTGGTGCAGCTTTTGCCTGTGTCAAAAAGTCCATGCCCAGGACAACGTTAAAGTCATCCATGGGTACTACGGAGAGACCAATCTCCTTGTCCCAGGTGCCGACTTGAAGCCTTACTCGACAAGCCATGTCTTCAATGGGTTTTGCACCCGTGTTTACAGATTTGAGCCAGCTAGGCTCTTTTGAAATGGCCAAGTTAAGTCTCTTGGCCTCTGCAGTGGAGATAAAATTGTGAGTGGCCCTTGTGTCAATTTGGGCCTTGGTTGGCCTCCCGCCAAGGCATATGTCAACATACCTCAGTCCTCTCTTGACTGAGGCGGGCTGCTTCGAAGTAGCCCCCTTCTTCATCATAACATTGAAAAGTTGGAGGGCACCCACTCTTGGCGCCTGGGTACTCCGTTCCCCATCACTCTGCTCATCATCACTTAGTTTGGCAATGATGACATTCAACTTCGCTTGCTTTGGGCAATTCCTAGTCAAGTGCTCCTCCCCACAAATGTAGTAAGTGGGAGGACGACTAGGTCTCCCTTGATATCTGTTGTTGTAGTAGCTTCGACTTCCTTGTGGCTACTTCCCTTTGTTGTGTTCGACTGGTTTGTGGTTGAAGGGATGCTTCTCCTTTGGGGGACTTGGTTGTCTATCTCCCCCACTCGAATGTGTGGTACGCGGGCTGGCTGGTCTGCTTCCTTCATCATCCGACAGTCTCTGTTCATTAAGTTGTTTAGCCACGGCCATGGCGGAGGCAAGGTCCTGAACATTACATCGTTGGAGCTCGAGCTTGGCCCAAGGCTTTAGGCCATCCATGAAGTTGAACAATAAGTCATTGTTTGACATATCGATGACTTCTAATGTGAGGGCTGAAAACTCTTTGACATATTCATGGAGCGAGTCACCATGTTTGAGAGTCTTCATCTTGCGATGAGCGAGGTACTCCACGTTCTCTGGGTAGAACTGTCTCTTCAGCTCTTGTTTAAAGTCAGCCCAGGTACGAATAACACACGTATCACATTCTATGTCAACACACCTTCTGCGCCACCACAACATAGCGACATCAGTCAAATACAAAGTAGCAGTATGCACCTGAGTCATTTCATCAGTCATATTGGCGGCGGCAAGGTACTGTTCCATTTGCCACAAGAAGTTGTCAAGCTCTCATGCATTGCGGGTACCCGAATAGGGTGTTGGTTCCCTAATCTTGATGTGGGAGTGAGTATGTGCAAATGATGTGTTGGCTGGATTGGTGACGACCCTCTTCAGGATTGCACATTCAGCTTTGAGTTCCTCTAGTTGAGGTTGGATGTCAGAGGAGGCACACGCGATGGACTTCATTGAGACCCACTCCGCTTTCATTTCATCTAATTGGGCCTGGACGGCCATTGATGTGGAGATGGTTCTTCTCCACGTTGCCCATTCTTTCTTCATCTCATCGAGCTGGGCTTGAAAACTGTCAAGCCTATCTTGGACCTACGAGTTGGATGAGCTTGTTTCTTATTGGCGCGCAGTGCTGCAAATTTCCTTGAGCATGCCATTGATTATGTCACGGACCTCGTCCACGACTCCACTCAGGCGACCTTCCATCTCGACCATTGATTATGTCACGGACCAACTCGTCTATCAAGTCTCGCATCTCACCTACGGTGGCTTTGCAACGTAGCATGCACAAGTCAATGGCTGCATGTTTGTTGGAAGATTTCTCACGTTTGTTGGGTTTCGGTGCCTTGTCCTTGCCGATGTCGTTGGCAGGTGCATTGTCAGGCTCATGGGATGTGGAGAGTCCATGCTCAATCTCCTCCATGATGTCCCTGTTGTGCTTCATGCTGTCACTCGCATCACGGGTCGAATAGCTAGGAAGGAGCTCCTGTTCTGATATCAACTGTTACAGGGTTAATCGTTGAGGCTCCATGCGGCACTCGAATGGGGCGAATAAGCCTAAGCAACAAAGCAAATTCACACAAAAAAACAACAAAATGGCACACAGGTTAGCAAAAGGCTATTTATATTGCATTAATAGATGATAAGTATAAGCACACAGTTCAGTATCAAGAGGATCTCGTACTTAACCTTTATATGCTACTGATTCACTCGACTACCTATCTCCCCTCAAAGAGTATGTTAAGCTTTTGAGGGAGTGACATAAGAAAATATCAAAAGAGTGGAAAATCATAATAGATTGATGGCGAAAGAATCACTTGTGAGAGAGTGGCGATTAGTCTTACACAAGTAGGATCACGTACGCAGTTAAGTTCCATGGCGGGACCCATTATATTTATATGGTACTGTAGTGTAGTTCAGATTTAGTAAAGTAATGGGTCCTCCAATTTAGGCATTTATATAAGTTAATATTTAAATGATAGATAATTCTATCATAAACAATTGTTAGGTGGCTTGTGACAGAGCCATAAAGGCAAAGGGCGAAGCGCGGGAGGAACAGCCGAACGGATAACCCATTCGGTTTTTCTACTTGGCCAGTGATCAGAATTACTCATTCCGGTCGCGCTCTTCAGAAACTTTAGAAGCTAACGAGCAACATCTGTGAGAGTAGTGGCAATGGCAACTCTCAGAGCTGTATCCTTCCCTTCAATACACCTCCCGACAATCTCAGCCACACCTCCGTTTGAGAAGTCAATGCTGTTTAATCCTCCTGATCGACAACTCACTTCACTTTCCTTGTCGAGTTGCAGAAGCAAGCCCAAAATCAAGCTTCTCTCGACCATTTCCTCGACTGTTTCGACTGAACCGATAGACCCACCTACACCTGAGGCTGAAAGCAGTGGAGAAAAGGAGAAATTTGATTGGTATTCGCAATGGTATCCTGTTGCGCCTGTATGTGATCTTGATAAGAGGGTGCCGCACGCAAAGAGGGTTATGGGTCTCGACGTTGTTGTCTGGTGGGATAGGAATGAAGGGAAATGGCAGGTGTTCGATGACAGTTGCCCGCATCGGCTGGCGCCACTCTCCGAAGGACGGATCGACCAATGGGGACGGTTGCAGTGTGTATACCATGGATGGTGCTTCGATGGTGCTGGTAATTGCAAATTCATTCCACAGGCGCCGCCTGATGGTGCACCGGTAACAATTCTCGTTGTAGTTCGTTTTAGAAATTCCTCTTTTTAATTCTTATTTTTGTTTTTGACTTGAGTTTTGGTCCAATGAAAGTGGGTAACATTTAATTCTTCTTATTTCTTGGTTTTCAGTTTATCTCTTGATTTCTAGAGAAGAAAATAACTTACAGTCTGTATCGAGATTTAGACCGTGATTCCATCAAATTCCATCCTTCTTTGAAGTTATGTTGTCTTTCAAAACCAAGTGATACAGAGCACAATTCGATTTGTTAAACGATTACTTAGCTATGTCGTTCCAATTTTGTTTTTCATTTCCCTTTGTTTGGTGTCAGTTGAACTTAGATACAAGCTGGAATGAGTTGATGTCTTATCTTCAGAGGATTTACACGAACATCATGATCCATAGTCTAGTCTAGTCTAATTAACTTTTGCCTACTTAAAGAGCTTTTAAGATACATCTGAATTAATTGATTCTTAGTGAAAAATTCTGAATTATCTAATCCACCACTGTTATTCTATATTGACATTACTAACAAAATGTGCAGGTTTACTCATTCAAGAAAGCATGTGCGGCTGTTTATCCAAGTATTGTGCAGAATAATATTGTTTGGTTTTGGCCAAGCACTGAGCCACGGTACAAAGATATAATGATGAAACAAAAACCTCCTTATATCCCAGAGTTGGATGATCCATCATACTCGAGATTAATGGGAAATAGAGATATTCCATACGGGTACGTAAATATTTTCTGGACCATCTTTGTCTCTGAAGCAAATACCTGTTAAAGTCCTTGCCATATTTAATGTAGGAAGTAAATAATATAGCTACATGAGTACAATGATATAGCTGTTAAAGTCCTTGTTTGGTTTCGGCCAATCACTGAGCCCCAGTTCAATGATATACTGATGAAACAGAAAACTCCTTATATTCTGGAGTTGGATGATCTGTCATACTCGAGTTTAATGAGGAATAAAGATATTCCATATGGGCTTACAAGTATTTGTTGGGACCATCATCTGGCTCTGAGGCAAGGACCTGTTAAAGTCCTTGCTATTATCTAAGGTGGGGAGTAAATGATGTAGTTGCATGAGTACCAAACAGTACCATTTAATAGAATGTTTTTGTAGATCAAATAAAAAGCTCCTTATATCCCCATACGATCCATCACACTTGAGTTTAATATGAACTAGAGATGTACTATATAGGTATGTAAACATTTGCTAGATCATTTTCTGTCTCTAAGGCAAAGACCTGTTAAGGTCCTTGCTATATATCTAAGGTGGGAAGTAAATGATCAGTGCTGCCAATAGGTTGTGTCTGGTCTGGGTCAAGGTAGACCTGGGCCCAACCCTATAAGTAAATGTGCAGAACCAGTTCTGAACCAGACCCTATAGGGTCTGTCATTGAGATTTTTGAGTCTGACCTAATAAGACCCAATTACAATTGACAGCTATACTTTTAACCCGTAATTTGACAATAAACCTACTTATTTGTTAAATTGACACATTTAGTCATCATATGATAATATTACAAGAATATCGTCAGAAATGAATTTTATGGTGAAAGAGAAAAATAGGTATTAGACTGGGGGTTTCCTTGTCTAGCAAGGACTCGAACAAGGACATACTCCAATATTATCAATGGCTTGTAGTTGCTCATGACATAATGCATTCACTGAAGCTACAGAAACATTTAACCTGTCCCCCCCCCAAAAAAAAATAAAAAATAAAAAATAAACCATAAAATGATTCCATTATCCATGCAAGTAGCATGTTTAGGAATCAGTCCACTAGACCAAATGCCCGCGTTTGGGTAGATAATTCTGCATGTATACAGAACTGTAAAAAGTTTCAGCATGAATGTGCTATATTATATTCCACAAACTTCTACAAGGAACTCAACTACTCTGCTGCATGAATGTGCTAATAAGTATAAACTAGTGACAGTATTGAATTTTCAAGCTTTGTCCCAGAATTACTAATCCTTGTATGCTTGAGATGATGTGCCTTTGCATTTCAGGTATGAAGTTTTGATTGAAAATCTTATGGACCCTGCTCATGTTCCCTATGCACATTATAAGATAATGCGAGTTCCACGTCCCAAATCCAGATAAGAGCTCAGATAAACATTTATTTTAATTGTTTGGGTTATTGAAATGATATCACCTCAATGACCTGGAGTTGCTGGGGTGTTGTTGCTATAAATATTTTTTGTAGTTGTACTACTAACACACATTTATTTCACAGTTAAGGCTGATAGAGAAGGAGGAAGGCCAATGGAGATAAATGTACAGACGTTAGACATAAATGGTTTTGTTGCAAAGCAGGAGAATGGCCATAGCAAATTTATACCACCCTGTATTTTTTTTGCTTCTCCAGATTTGATTCCAGATCAAGGTAATGGATCTGCATCTTCAGGTAGTGTCAAGAAGGTAATGCATTAGATAGATTTATATCAAATTAATTTGATGGAATTTTGGTTTCCTTTTTTTGTTTATTATTTCACATTCTCAGTTTTCCATTGTATTTAACTTTGGGTGGTCCAGGAGCAGTCTCAACGACGATTCCTTCTGATTTTTATTTGTATTCCTGTTAGTCCTGGTAAAAGTAGATTGATATGGACATTTCCAAGAAACTTTGCGGTTTGGATTGATCGAGTTGTTCCACGTTGGATGTTTCATATTGGACAAAACCTTATTCTGGATTCAGATCTTTATCTTCTTCATTTGGAGGTAATCCTGTCACATTATTTATCAGTAAAGATGCTATACCAACTTGCATTGGATGTCTGTTAGTATTTATCATGAACAAAATATAAGGCTTGCAGCTTATTCTTAGTTCTCAAGGTGATCCATTTATTTGCCCTTTTCTTATCTTATTTTTGTTAAATATGAAGTAATTGTCATTTGCAGTAATCTCCATCTGGCTCAAAAAGTTTACCTACTAAGCTTGTCAAAGATGCCTGCCATAGGCAATCTAATAAAAATGCTAATCTTACTGTGTTATGGGCCCGGACATAGGATCTCGTCATGGGGCGGTCCACGGGGAAAACTCCTAGCCTTCCCTTGCCCTTCCCTTTGCGTGCTGACCCTATTGTGGCGAACTAGGGGGTGATTTGTTCAAGAGATCACCCTAACTCTCCTAAGCTCTTTCCTTGATCGAAAATTCAATGCCTTTATTCCAATTCCAAGCTCCTTTAAATAGGAGATTACAAGAGGGTTTCCTTGTTGTATTCGGCTAGGATAATCCATCTCCTATCGAAACTCAAACTCCTACTTCTAATGGTAATTAACTTCCTATTTCTACTGGTAACACAACTCCTACTAAGAACAGGGGATAAGTAGATGGGATAAGGGATAAGGTAAGCTGGCGGTGAGTTGGCTAGAGTGGCAAGGTAAGTGGGCCCCTGATGAGCTGTCGTGTGGGCCCCCCTTCAGTGCTGCTGCTGCCGGCCGCGGTGGTTAGCCTCGCCTACGAGTGTGTTTACTGCTTCTGTGTCTGCAACATTACACCCCTCTTGGACTACGAGCTTGTCCTCAAGCTCGAATTCCGGATACGTGGCTTGGGACTCTGCCAATGGATCAAACGGTTGCACACTATCTCTCAGTCCACCAACAGCATGAACAACAGGGACTGTCCCGTAGCTCAGTGCATAAAGCTGGTTCAGTCCACATGGCTCAAATCTAG